CAAACATCAGACAATGGGGGGAAAGGGGATTGTTAGTAATGTGGTCTTATTGCTAGCAATGTACCATGTCAGGTTGACCTCCACGCGGTTCCCCCTGGAAACCATCGTGATAAATTCTTGGTGAATATGTCACGATGGGCTAACTGACCTGACCTCATGCTCATCACATCATCCTCCACTAGTGCCCCGCCAGCGTAAACCGTTAGCGCAGGCGGGTGCACCATTCCACTATCATCCACAAAAAAAAAAAACACCAGACAATAGCCCAAACAACCCAATAAAAAAAAAATACTCCCATTCCTATCATATCATCTTTCACACAGTCCATACATCTTATTTCCGGTCTTCTGCCCTCATTGTTCGTTTGTTATCACAATTATTATTAAATATTTCACGTATAATAATAGAAATTAGCTCACATTTTATGCAGAAATTTGCAGCCAACCTTTTTAAACGTGAGAGTGGTCGTCAATTTACCATTACCGTTATTTATGGGTAATAAACGGCAACAATTGGATGATGTAACACGAACGATTCCCAACTGGGTCACGGTTGCGCGAATTTAAGTGCACAATATAATGTCACTAATGTTTCACAAACATTTTTCGTGCAGGCATTAATTAGTTTTTTAATACTAACGTAACTGGAATCACAAACTGACGGTGACAGTAATGGATCTATAAATATCGTGGTATGTGTTTATCACCTCAGCTCTCCTAAATTAAGACTGATTTGTGTAAAATTTCTGTGTATTACTAGGATATGTTTATTGTTTTAAAACTATCCTTGAAATGGGTTACTAGGATGGTTTTAAAATGGTAAATGGTAATTGGTAAATGGCGTTACTTTCTTGGGCAAGACGACATCTGTTAGATCCGCTGGTATATACTCAGAGTTTTTCGCCTGATGGTAAATGATTACAGCGTCCCATTAACACCAGCAAAACTAGGGTAATTGCAAGTGCGTTGCCGGCCCTTTAAGAAGGAATAAGTTATTTTCATGAAGGTTTCAATATCGTATTGGCTTGGAAACCATTGCTGAAAGGTGGTTCCACAATGTGGTTGTGCGTGGCAAAAAGTTTCTGGAAAAACGCACGGTGAAGGCCCGCCGTTCATTCAGATAATCAGTTTGATTGGGCAATTGTATGATTTGTATGATTGGCAATTGAATGGGTTTTCTTAAAAGAGTTTTGCTGAAAGTGTAACCCTTACCAAAACCTAAATAGTACATAACAACAGGACCTAGCGTACCACGTGTAAGGAAGCACTACACAATTACCACTGAACCAGGTCATATCAATTAATGACAATTAACAGACCGACGGCCGGTTTATATGTACGGATGGGATAATAACCATGAGACTGGGTCAAATATCGTTGGATTAGCTAAACAGTCTATGTTTTTTTTTACCCTAGACGCAAAAAGAGGGTGTTAATAGTCAGTACATCTGTGTATAATATGTAGAAGTAGAAATAATCTTTATCAAATAAAACTTAATATAAGCACTTTTGAATAGTCATAATTTCAGTAATTTTTTTTATTCTACCAATCTTTCGGAACGCAATAAGTAAGTCGCTCAAATGGCAAGTTTTTGTAATATAAATATATTTTTAACAATATCTTATTTCTATACTTAGCTGTTCCCGGGACTTCGTCCGCGTGGAATTTAACTTTATTTTTCTAAAATAAAAATAGCCTAAGTTACACCTTATTACATCAGCTACCTGCCAAAAAAACCCCGTCAAAATTTCAGAGAGATTTCTCAGGTCCAGCCATTTCAGAGATCAGCCGGAAGAAACAAACAGACAGACAAAAATTGTAAAAAATGATATTTTGGTATATGTACCGTATTTATATTCATATGCATGTAGTAAAAAACTGTTATTTCAACATTACAAACTCCAATTTTATTTATATGTATAGATGTATAGATATTTATATAAAATTAATAGTTATTCCAGTAAACTAAGCATTAATATTTTACATTGCACTGAATAAAATATTTTTCTTTCTTTCTTTCTTTCTTTCTTTCTTTCTTTCTTTCTTTCTTTCTTTCTTTCTTTCTTTCAATATAATCAGTTTTGAATAGTCATATTTTTTATTCTACCACTCATTCGGAAGCACACTTATCTCAATATTGTTTACTGTATAGGTGTCTATTTCTAACATTAAATGAAAATCCCGTGCATGAACAACTATTGCCATACACGTTTGTCATTCAAGTAATCATGTAGGTGAAATACATGATTCATCACCAGGAAACGTTAGATCATCACCCATGTATTTAAAAGGTACCGAAAACGCCACCGAGCCGGTCAGCAACGAAAATAGTCCACGAATTTCTAACTACCTGTTACTAGTCACTTCAACTGGAATAGGTGAAGGCATTCATGTGCCACAGAGTATATATACCAGTAGATAAAATACATTTTTATGACTCTATTTTATTAATTAGTTCAGATTACGAACTTTGAATGGACTATTTTGAATATATACTAACTGTGCCCGCGACTGCTTCCGCATAGAATTAAACTTCTTTTTATTATAATAAAATTTCTAATATAAAAATAGCCTAAGTTACTCCTTATAACATTAGCTATCTGTGAGTGATAGTCCCGTCAAAATCTGTACAGTTGTTTCAAAGTTTAGTAAGAAAAACAGTCACATAGACAAATTTTTTAAACTATATTTTTAGTTAGTGCAAAGCTGTTAATTTTGAAACTACAAAAAGACACCTTTTTCCATTAAGTTTATATTATTGTAACAACATTTTTAAACTAAATATAAAAAAATGGAAGTGTGGGTAAAAGCTTCACAAATCAAAACTATCAAGACATCAGTGGACTTTTGTTACTTGACGATTTACTGTTGAGATGCTGTTGTTTTCTACTCTGTGGCATGCCACATCATTATTCCTTCAATGTCGTACCAACCGACACGCTGTCTTTCCTCGATGCGTAACATTGTCATTCAGAAAAGCACACGCGGAGCCGCGGTATTCCACTAGCACTTTGTATGATAATTTAAAACGTAATTGTAATGTGAATGAGCGCACGGCGTTTAGTGTATGTATAAATATCAGGGATCTTAAGGAGCTCCGTAACCGTAACCGTAACCGAATCCGAAATAAAAGTTTCGGATAATATCCGATAAAGAAGGAGTCCAATTTAGACACGTTATGTAACCATTTTATTAGCTATATGTATTTTACTTTTGAAAATACTTAAAAATTCACATCCCTAACCGAAATTATCCGAAACTAACGGATAATCCGAAATAATTTCATATCTGTATCCGGTATAATAATTATTCCTATATACGAAACTTATCCGTATCCGTAATTTCATATCCATAACATCCCTGATCATCCTGATCTGCGACCATTGAAAGTAAACCCCTAGATCACCGATCCCGTAAAAATAAAGATATGACAAACAAACAACAATTTATACGCATTACAATACGTTAATATAGACTATAACTTAGCATGATGCTAGAAACATAGTTTCCAGCGCTGATTTTCAGTTGAGAAATGTATTAGATCATGAGTGTGATTAGGCAGTGAAATTACAGGATATGAAAGTATATTTTGTTATTGAGTTGTTTTGGACTATGCCCAGGTTCTTCAGACCTGTTGCACTGCATCCTGCATAGATCTATTATGCTCGCCTTCTTTCAAAGTTCGCTACCTAGACCCGTCAGGGACAAGAATTGAAGGATATTCTTAGGAGCGATGGTTTTTATCTCCTCAGGATAAAGTGTACCTTTCCAAAGGAGACATTTCGTTTATGCACGAATGAGCTACAGACATATAGTATGTGTAGTGGCGTTTCTCTTCAGCTTGGTAAAATATATAGATTTTTGTTGTCCACAGACTTAAGCTATGTGTTTATTTAACTTGCCCAGTGGGGCCAGCGAGGGCCCTAATTATAATGCGTATATTGTTTTTGATACGGAAGCGTAACATCATAGTCCTTTGAAATGTCAACACATGAGCTATCTTGGAAGTCACATGACGCTGCCATCGTATTGTTCATGTATATAAACGCATGTCTGCTATTCTAATTAAAAACAACGCAGTTTTCTCTTCATATCCTGCAACTTATATCATGTAAATGAATTGACAGCACGCAACTGTTTGCCCAATTATTTCCGTCAGGCGCTTTTTAAATTTACAAATGTGGCATTAAACGAAAATATACAATAAATAGTTGTTACATAAATTGTACACACGACGGCCTCGGTGATCTATTGGTAAAGCTCATTACTTTGCTTCCGGTGCACGCAATGGTCGCGCATTCGATTCCTCGCAGCAAACATTTGTATTCATGATTATGCTTTTTGTATCGGTCTAGGTGTTTTCTACGTACATTATGTATTTAACTAAATTTATATAACTCAAAGGTGACTGACATAGTGATCTATCAACGCATAGCCCAAACCACTGGACGGATCGGACTGAAATTTGGCATGCAGATAGATTTTATGACGTAGGCATCCTATAAGAAAGGATTTTGATTAATTCTACCCCCAAAGGAATAAAATAGGGAATGAAACATTTATGAAACTTTGTCAATTTTAAACCGATCGGGCTGAGACTTTGCATGCATAAAGCTACTACGTACGTGACATAGGCATCCCCTATGAAAGGATTTTGATAAATTCCACCCCTAAGGGGATAAATTAACTCGAACGAAGCCGCGAGCAAAAGCTAGTTTACAAATAAAAGTATTCAACAATAAGCTCTACTTAGCTTGGAATTTGATGGGCTAAATTCTCTCGGGTTATTATTATTATTACATTATGTTAATGGGATATTCATCGTGATAATGTTATTTAAGAGTTCCACAGCTGTTATAAAATAGTTTTATATCTTTCTTTTCTTTCGTATATAATGTAAACGACGCTGAAAATAATTTAAAACCATTTTCATTTGAATAAAGATTATTTCTATTGTATAAAATTCTTGAAATTTAAAATATATTGTTTGTTTGTTTCAGTTAACGGTCATGTAGTAGAGAAACGGGAAGCTAGCGACGAATATGACTTCATGGGTGATGATCCCAGTGATGATGATACCCTGAACGACGCTTATGGTGAGTAATAGGAATATTATGAAATTATATTTTATCAAATGAAATCAAAATTTATTCATGTAGGACATTTTAGCCGCTTATGAACGTCAAGTTTTTTGTATTAGTAATTTTTTCTTACCGTACAGTTCAATATACAGATTCAATTGAGAAGAACTGGCAAGAAACGCAATTGAATTTTTTTTTTATACTACGATGGTGGCAATCAAGCATACGGCCCATCTGATGGTAAATGGTTACCGTAGCCTATGAACGCCTGAAACACCAGAGGTATCACTTGCGCGTTGCCGACCCTAAATGTTTTATGTTACATTGTACACTTTTCTAACTGTATGTAACAATTTTTTTTTATTTTATTTTTATATTTTTCTAGTTGATTTCTAGTAGTGTAACTGGCTAGTTACAATATCATATGCCATTCATTTTACCACTCATGTATTGCCATTCAAAAAGTGTGTTATAAAGCATGCAAATACAGGGGTCTAGGCTCCGAATATGATTTTGTCCCATTTGATGTCGAGACCCTTGGTCCGTGGGGTCCTAGCACTCTTTTTAAGGAAATAACAAAAAGGTTAGTCGACATCACAGAAGACCGAAGAACTGGCAGCTACCTCGGACAAATTCTAAAGTGGAACGCTGCCAGTATCTTCGGAACCTTGCCTAAAGGCACTCCTTTTAATAATATATTTTACTTAATATATTATATTTTTTAAAGTATTTAATTTTAGATTCTTAGTTGTACAATTAAGTTAAGTTAATTGTTTGTTATTAATATATTTTACATTTATTTCAGGTGAAGGCGAAGAAGGGAATACAGAAAACATTGTTATTGTTACAAAACCCCAAGTTTACAACGTCAGTGCCGGCTCCACGGTGATTTTGGAGTGTAATGTGGAGCCTAAAGGTCTGTACCGCGGCTTCGTTCACTGTTTAATTTAAATTAAAAGGCGGCCTCCCATCGTTCACCCATCCGCTATTACTACTTTAATGTATAGTAACTCCCGTGGGCTAGTGGTTTAGCGCACCGCTTCGTTTCTATAGTCGCAGGTTCGAATCCTCGCACGGTACTAACCTTTGTATTCATGAGTATAATTGTTTGCATCGGTCTGGTTGTCTGAGTGGAGGTTCTGCTTATAGCGCAACATCAGTTTTTAAGTTGTTTATTTTCTTCTACGTTGTACTATGTTATTCTATATAATCTGAATGAATTTATGTCTGTCCAACTCGTGTTCGCAATTTATCTGAGATCGGGTCTCCTATACTATATATGACTATATAAAAGCACACAAAAATCTTAATAGAGTGTTTTATATTGGATAGTAACGCCATCTATCGGCAGAAGTGTAAACTGTCCAAGACATTTTTATTTACTAAATAATACAATCCTATCACCCCCCCCCCCCTGCCCCCAATGATGATAATTTATCATTATATCACAGATAACGTAATATAACATATTCTTATAAATAGATAACACAAATATGTCAACTTGGACTACCTCCCTCGGTTCTACCTCTCGGGTCTACCTACGTTCACATTCAGCCGCTTCCCCTGTCACTCGCGCTGCCAGTCCTTTGACTCGCGCACGAAAAACCGACAATCGAGGGAGCGCCGGGCAGCGCGAGTGGCAGCGCCAATGGCATGGGAAGTGTTTCCACTCTCGCGCTGCTCACTTCCCTGCCCACACGGGCTGAGTGTAAATTGGGCATTAGAGGAAGGAGTATGGCAACTAACGTGTGACACGAGAATTTATATATTAAAAGAAACATTTAACGGTAATTCTCACTAATCATACATTAAATTCAGTCAACTTTTAGTTGAGAAATAGAACGTCATGAACTGTTTGATATCTACCGAGGAACATCCTGCACGTTTTTGGCTTCAGGATGTGTGTTTATATCGTGAATTGACTTTCATACAACTGTATGATTCATCACAAGATCGCCTCATCATAGTACGGTGTCTATTTAAGGAGATAGGAAGTGATACATTGTCTAGTAGCCAAAAATAACGATGGCACTACGTTGATTTAGTATTCTACGATCGTTTGAGCTTTGGTCATATGTATTAATTTATTTCTTACTGTCTACTATTGTCCTTACATTTGGATCTACTTTCCTTTCGAACTATTCTAAGTGTAGTTGACGACCTCGGTGGTATAGCGGTCTAGCACACCGCTTTACGTCCGATGGTCGCGGGTTCGATTCCTCGCACGGCACAAACATTTGTATTCATGAGTATGATTGTTTGTATCGGTCTTGGTGTTTTCCATGTATAATATGTATGTATTTACGAAAAAAAAAATATCTATGTACTTGTATCAGTTATCTAGTACCCATAACACAAGCTTTAGGTAGCTTAACGTGGGTCTAGATGGCGGTGTGTGAATTGTCCTGAGATAAAAAAAAAAAAATGGAATGATGCACCCGCCTGAGCTAACGGTTTACGGTGGCAGAGCACCAGTGGAGGATGATAAGATGAACATGAGGTCTGGTCAGTTAGACCAATGTGATAAATTTACTAAGAATTTATCTCGATGGTTTCCAGGGGGAACCGCGTGGAGGTCAACCTGACATGGTACATTGCTAGCAATAAGATCATCAGTCCACATTACTAACAATCCCATTTCCCACTATTCTAATGCTGTTGGCCGCAGCTGGCCTTTACAGCTTCACCAAACGATAGGGGGCGAGTGAAGATGGTACTCCAAAGCCGGACTTTTGGTGCGGCTGAAGGCCATCTCTCGCCTGATAGATATGACTTTAGTCTGAGGGCACCGCTAAGGGTTACTCTAATGCTGTTGGTCATAGCTGGCCTTTACAGCTTCACCCAGCGATAGGGGGCGAGTGCAGATGGCACTCCAAACCAAAGGAAGGACTTATAGGGTGATTAGTCAACTCTCGCTTGATGGATATGACTGTAGTTTGAGGGCACCGCTATAGGTTCGAACCTTGGCTTAGGCCGTCGTAATTTCGATCACCGTTTGAATTGAACAGATCAATCGGAGGTGAGACGAGGATCGATCGGAGGGACCTTTCGGTATCTTATTGTTGCATATAATGTCCATTCGTGTACTTCCTAATGTTAATACATATATCTTTATTGTTTATTAACCATATGTTATGATTTCAGGAAATAGCGCTGTGGTGCAGTGGCTGAGAAATGACAACATATACTTTTTGGGGTCGATGACGACATTAACCGACCACAGAATAAAACTGTATGTATATCTTTCCCTTCTGTGATTATACAAAATGTTTATATCCTATTATCTACATATGAAATAAAAAAAAAATTTTTTTTTTTTTCTATTTTTTTTTATCTACATATGATACAAATATTTTGAATTCATGAGTATCATTGCTCATATTGATACTAGCCGTGCCCGCGGTTTCACTTTCATTAAATTGCAATGTATAAATTTCTATATAAAATATACGGATTTTGATGAAACTGTACAGTAATATTATATATCAGAATAACACACCTATTTGTCATTCTGATGTATAAGCTTTTTGGTCGTCTTAATTTATTCCTACCATTAGGTACTGATAGGTTCAAACTAATACATTTACATCCTACATCATCCCTTATTTTATCCCCATGGGGGTTGAATTTATTAAAATCCTATTTAAGCGAACGTCTTCATCATAGTAGCTCTAATCTTTAATTTCAGCTCAATCAGTCGAAAATCTAAGAAGATTTATACAAACTTTCATCCCCTATTTGATCCCCTTAGGGGTGGAATTTATCAAAATCCTTTCTTAGGGTATGCCTACGTCATAGTAGATTTACGCATGCAAAGTCTCAGCCCGATCGGTTTAAAATTGACAAACTTTCATACAAACTTTCATCCCCTATTTTATCCCCTTGGGGGTAGAATTAATCAAAATCCGTCATAACATCTACCTGCATGCCAAATTTCAACCCGATCCGTCCAGTGGGGGCTGTGCGTTGATAGATCACTATGTCAGTCAGTCACCTTTGAGTTATATATATTTAGATGTTTATTCTCCAACTGTACAATAATTGTGAATTATTTTCAGTGTCCACAATACATCCATGGCTATATCGAACGTAACACCATCCGACGAGGGCGAGTATAAGTGCGTAGTGACACAGAAAAAGCCTCTCACACTCACCCACAGAGTGGTCGTCACTTCGAAACCGAACATTCTCGGTGAGTCAAAATCAACTGTCAAAAATAACGGCCACATTTTTCCACCAGGCACAGGGAATTTATCGAGCGCAGTGATGGCTGGCTCATCCGTCATACTCGTGAGCGGGTGCTGCTTGTAGGGACTGGTCTGCTCTTATCACTACGACTGATTTAATCTTATTGCATGATTATATTTGACCCAAAAATTAGTGCTTGTTGGTAGTTTGTATTCACACGTTTCGACTTGTAAATGTGAACTTACAAGGATTATTTAAAAGAGCAACACACAAGTTTCTTGCTCGTTCTTCTTGTGATGAGACAGCTTTCCGAACGAGTGGTAGATAAAAAACAAATTGTTATGACTATTCAAAAGTGTTTAAATTAAGTTTATTTGAATAAATGATTTTATATTCTATTCTATTCTATTCTATCCCCACACGCTGGAACCTAAGTGGTCCCGAACAGTGCGGTTTCAGAGGAGTTTCCTCCCGCGTACACTTAGATTGTGGAATGAACTACCTGCCGAGGTTTTCCCACGAGACTACAGCATGGGGTTTTTCAAGAAGGGTATATTAAGGTTTCTTAAGTCGGGAACGCGCACGTGATACTCCTGGTGTTTCAGGCATTCATAGGCTACGGTAACCATTTACCATCAGATGGGCCGTATGCTTGTTTGCCACCATCGTAGTATAAAAAAAAAAAGTTTGTACCACTCTTTACAAAAATATGACGGACGGTAGTGTCGGATGGTACAATTATTCTTCATACATAGGGACAGACAGCGACAGCGACTTTATTTTATACTATGTAAAGATAAAGAAGACTAGCTACTCGCCCCGGCTTCGTACGGGTGTACATGTAATACATATAAACCTACATTTGGAATGACTTTATCTATTAAAAATAACGGCTTTAAAATCCGTTGCGTAGTTTTAAAGATTTAAGCACACATAGGGACAGACAGCGACAGCGACTTTGTTTTATACTATGTAATGATATATATTTTATATTACATTCCAGATTTATCTGCTACAAACAACGGCAGAGTACACGAGGGAAACCGTCTAGTTCTGAACTGCGATGTGAGCGGCTCACCACCTCCCAAGATAGTGTGGTCACGGCAAAGAAAGGGATCCCATGATGTAAGCAATAAGCAAAACCATCCTAACAATATCCTTCAACTCTTCCCTCACGGGTCCAGGTAGCGAACTTTCAATAAAGGCAAGCACAATAGATCTCGAGAAGACCTCGGTGGTCTAGCGGTCTAGCACACCGCTTTACGTCTTATGGTCGCGGGTTCGATTCCTCGCACAGCACAAACATTTGTATTCATGAGTATGATTGATTGTATCAGTCTGGGTATTTTCTATGTATATTATGTATGTATTTACGAAATAAATAATATCTATTTATTTGTATCAGTTATCTAGTACCCATAACACAAGCTTTAGCTAGCTTAACTTGGGTCTAGATGGCGCTGTGTGAATTGTCCTGAGATTATTATTATCTATGTAGGTCGCAATGCTACAGTGCTCTACTTCCGATGGTCGCAGGTTCGATTCCTCGCACGGTACAAACGTCTATTCATGAGTATGATTGTTTGTATCGGTCTGTCTGTTCTCTATGTAAAAAAAATACATCCATGTATTTATATCAGTGTTGTACCCATAACAAGCTATGCTTAGCTTGGAACTAGATGGCGTTGTGTGAATTATCTTGAGATATTATTATTATTATTATCTTCAATTCTTGTCCCTCACTGGTCTAGGTAGCAAACTTCGAATAAGGCGAGCACAGATCTATACAGGTCCCAGTGTTACAGGACTTAGCAGCTGACAATCATTTCGAACAAACAGCTAAAATAATAATAATCTCAGGACAATTCACACAGCGCCATCTAGACCCAAGTTAAGCTAGCTAGAGCTTGTGTTATGAGTACTAGATAACTGATACATACACATAGATTTTTTTTTTTGTAAATACATACATATTATACATAGAAAACACCCAGACAGATACAAACAATGATACTCATGAATACAAATGTTTGTGCCGTGCGAGGAATCGAACCCGCGACCATCGGTCGTAAAGCGGTGTGCTAGACCGCTAGACTACCGAGGTCGTCAAAATATCGTAAAATATATGTTTATATCCGATATATATCTAGGTAGTCTAGCGTTTGGCACACCGCTTTATTTCCGGTGGTCGTGGGTTCGATTCCGAGGAAGACACTTCACAATCAATTATTCTCATATTTCTTATATTAACTAATAGTTTGGCTACCATACAAAGTACATACATATTATCACCACGACTCGAGTCTTATTATACATTCAAGTCGTGTTTCGAGGAAACAGCGACCTATTATTAATATCCACTACAAATAGGCTAGGACGTCCTGCTTCGTTACGGTAATGAAATGGTGATATGTATTAACTACAGTTAACTGAACAACAACATATAATACTAGCTGTGCCCGCGGTTTCACTCGGTTTTAATTTATAGGCTACTTACTAGCTGTGCCCGCGACTTCGTCTGCGTGTTATAGTGATCTTGACCAAATATTGAAAAAATATTTAATAATCTAACCCAAAAAAGGAAAAGAAAAAAGATTCGTTACAGTTTCAAAATATACTATTTTCTATACAAACTTTCATCCCCATTTTTTACCCCCTTAAGGGTAACAATTTTACAAACTTAGTTATATTTAATGATAAGCCTAAAAAATAAGATTCAATATTTAAAAATGACGTTACTTCCATAGAACCCTTCATCTCCCCTCTCAACCCCTTACAACCCTTTCTTCGCATTAAAAAGTAGCCTATGTCCTTTCTCAGGGTCTAGACTATCTGTGTACCAAATTTCATTTAAATCGGTTCAGTAGTTTTGGCGTGAAAGCGAGACAGACAGACAGACAGAGTTACTTTCGCATTTATAATATTAGTAAGAATATGTTAGTCTGATGTACACAAATAAGCTGTATTACTGTAAAGTTTCATCAAAATCTGTTTAGTAGTTTTTGCGTTAAAGAGTAAGAAACATCCATTCATACTCACATACTTTCGCGTTTATAATATTAATAAGATCTGCAGTAAGTAAATAATAATATAATAATAAATAAAACCCTGGACAATCAACACAGCGCCATCTAGTCCCAAAGCTAAGCAGAGCTTGTGTTATGGGTACTAGACAACTGATATAAATAAATACAGAATATTTTTCATAAATACATACATAATATACATAGAAAACACCGAGGAGAGACCGGTACAAACAAACATACTCATGAATACAAATATTTGCACCGTGCGAGGAATCGAACCCACGACCGTCGGAAATAAAGCGGTGTGGTAAACCACTAAACCACCGAGACCGTCAGAATAAGATCTAAATAATAGAAAAGATTTCAGCCACCAAACTGCGACAGAACAGTCAACAGTAGACTTCCAAACTATAACCAAACTCTATTCATGGCCTGATGATGATATCCTAGTTCTCCAGGACTTGTATGTATTTGACAGATACCACTTACCATCAGATGGTTAACTTGTTTGCTATTCTACGTTATATAAAAATATTTGCTATTATATACGTCAACAAAGGGGGTCAAACCTACACGCGGGTCACGAGTCTCGAGAACTGCTCGGAGATTCTCTCTCTGCCACACGATCAGCACCCGCGGTAAATCCATGGAATGCTACCTCTCCACACGATGAATAGAATAGAATAGAATAGAATAGAAAATCATTCATTCAATTAAACTTAATTTAAGCACTTTTGAATAGTCACAATAAATTTTTTTATCCACCACTCGTTCGGAAAGCAGTCTCATCACAAGAAGAACGAGCAAGAAACTTGTGTGTTGCTCTTCTAAATAATCCTTGTAAGTTTACATTTACAAGTCGAAACGTGTGAATACAATCTACCAACCAGCACTAATTTTTTGGGTCAAATATAAATATACATTAAGATTAAATCAGTCGTGGACCCAGCATCCGCGGTAAATCCATGAATACTAAGAGGATCGTGTCGGACATTTCCTCTTTACCACACGATGAACCTGGTACCCACATCGTGAGTCCATGATAGAGAAACAATCTTTATTCAATTAAACTTAATATAAGCACTTTTGAATAGTCAAAATTTTTTATTCTACCGCTCATTCGGAATGCAGACTCATCACTGGAGTGTGTCAGGAACGAGAGTCTACGACATGGAATAACGTCAGACCATGAAATAAATATATTGGATGTTGGTGCCATACAAACTGTTTTAGCCGATCCTTCGGGCGATGCGGCTAAGGCAATTTGTTCACTGGTGAGGTAATGGAGTGATTGGTTTTATGGTACAATGGGACTGACATGTACTTAGATGGTACAAAAGTCCCTAAATTTAAAAAGAAATTAAAAAAAAAAAAAAGAAACATGTGTGTTGCTAGAAGTTCGTCTCTATATTTGAACTCTTTTTTCTTTCTAGAACGAACGCTTGCTTGAAACCGACGGCGTGTTCAGTCTGAACAGCGTGACAATCGAACACGTCAAGCCTGAACACAGTGGAACATACTATTGCTACGCTTTCAACGGAGTGGCCGCCGATACCAGAGATATACAAATCACTGTGCTTTGTAAGTATCCAGTGTTGCCATTTGTATGTTTTAAGTAACGGTGAATTACGTGATTATCGGCATATAATAAGTTATTTATTTATTATTTATCTGGCTTTATGTCTTATTATTATTTCCTCTTTTTTTTTATCGAATATGTAATATTATGTTAAAGGACCAAACTTATGTTGAGGATGTAAAAGAAATAAATAGATTGTTTTGCTTATTGGCGTTGCGGAGGTGCGAGAACAAAAAAACGCGGTAACCGATTAGTACTGCAAGAAAAACGCGAGAGGCGCTGCAGTCGCCATAACGCGCGTTTTTAATATTAAGAATATTACAATTTCTATTTTCTATATTTACGTGTCGCCTACACTTAGTAGTATGTATGATTTTGTGCTGTGTAAAAGTAAATGTTAATAAATGAAATAATATCCACCCTGGGAAGGTATGTGACATCTGAGATACAGTATAATTTTATACTAGTTCTGAACTAGGCACAATTACACTTGTATGTTAAAATTATTGACTCTTATGTACAACTTAATTATGTAACACAACCTATAACTGCAATAAATATTACTTGTGTACCTAGTGTTGCACAAGTTATTGTTGCTTAGTATTACAAGAATTTAGTTATCCCTCAAACTTTGCCAAAATTTTTCCCTGAAATTTAGGTTTTGAAGTAAATTTTCACCAAAAAAGATAGTCTATAATTAGGATTTTGATTAATTCTACTCCCAATGGGATAAAATAGGGGATGAAAGTTTGTATGAAACTTTGTCAGTTTTAAACCGATCGGGCTGTGACTTTGCATGCATAAAGCTACTATGACGTAGGCATCCCCTAAGAAAGCACTTTGATAAATTCCACCCCTAAGGGGTTAAATAGGGGATGAAAGTTTGTATGAAACTTTGCCAATTTTAAACCGATCGGGCTGAGACTATGCATGCATAAAGCTCCTATAACGTAGGCATCTCCTAAAAAAGGATTTTGATTAATTCTACCCCTAAGGGGATAGATTAACGCGAGCGAAGCCGCAAGCAAAAGCTAGAGTATTATAAAAGATTTGTTCTCTCCTAATTTTCTTCCAAAACTTCACAAATACAACCAAATATGTGGGAGAATTTTTTTCATATGAGGCAAAAATTTGAAGGTAGGTGTCATATAATACATGTATGTTTGTTTGTGTGTAGACAAGCCGAGAGTACACGTACACCGGCAGGAGACCAACACGGCACTGAACGTGCGAACTGAACTGCAGTGCTCCGCACACGGGGAGCCCGCGTGAGTATCCTTACTTATATAGCAACTGCGAAGCTGTGACTTTATAAATAAATATATAAAAAGAAAAAATAAATATATATATTATATACATACATATATATATATATATTCCTGAACAATTCACGTAACGCAATCTAGTCTCAAAGTAAGCAGAGCTTGTATTATGGGTACTAGACAACTGATATAAATAATTAGATACATTTTGTAGACATAGAAAATACTCAGACCGATACAAACAGTAATATTCACGAATACAAATGTTTGTACCGTGCGAGGAATCGAACCCGCGAACATAGGAATTATAGCGTTATGCTAAACTGCTAGACCAACGATGCCGTTAGACTATCTGCCTGTTAAATTTTCTCTGCTAAACGGCTGAACCGATCTTAATTCAATTTAACATGAGAGATCCTATCTTACTTTTTTATCCAACAATGTAAGTATTTTTTTATTGTAATTTTTTATTCGATCAGCAAATTCAGTATGCAGATTTCTAAAAAGAATGGGAAAGGTACTCTGTTACTCTTCTGCATTACTGTATTTAATATTTTTTCTATTTGATTGAATTAGTGCTAATCGGTAGTTTGTATTCACACACTTAAACTTAAATTGTAAAGTAAGAATAAAATTATTTAAAACAGCAACACACAAGTTTCTTGCTCGTTCTTCTTGTGATGAGAAAGCTTTCCGAATGAGCGGTAGATTAAAAAAATGTGATGACTATTCAAAAGTGCTTCAATGTAAGTTTATTTGAATAAATGATTTTCTATTCTATTCTTCCTTACATGGTATAATAAAAAAGTCATCGGCGCTGTCTGTTTGTTTATCTTTTAAATTACGCAACCGATTTTAATGCAGTTTTCAGCAATAGATAGAGTGATTCATGAGGAAGGTTTATATGCATAATACATGCGTATTATAGTATAGAACAAACAAAATTATCAACATTTGAAGAGAATGATGGAAAATCTTGTAAAGTGGCATGAGCTTCAGCGACAAGAGCGATGTTCTTGAATTATGAATGAATGTATTATTCTACGTTTACATTTAGCCACTTCCCCTGCCACTCGCGCTGCCAGTCCTTTGACTCGCGCACGATAAACCGACAATCGAGGGAGCGCCGGGCAGCGCGAGTGGCAGCGCCAATGGCATGGGAAGTGTTTCCACTCGTGTTTACACTCTCGCGCTGCTCACTTCCCTACCCACTCGGGCTGAGTGTAAATTGTGCATTAGCTATTATAAAAATTATTACATTATTTTTCAGACCATACCTCAGTTGGTACAAGGATAACCAGTTAATCAACGAAGGAGTCATCAACGATGACTCCCATACTCCTCTCTCCACTCTCGTAGTGGTGCCTAAAAGTGATAGTGATTTTGGCACGTACACTTGCGTTGTAAGTATTTTAATCCTTACTAATAATCATAAATGCGAAAGTAACTCTGTCTGCCTCTCTATCTCGTTTTCACGCCAAAGCTACTGGACCGATTCAAAGAAAATTTGGTACACCGATAGTTTAGACCCTGAGAAAGGACATAGGTTACTTTTTAATGCAAAAATCGGTTGTAAGGGGTTGAAAGTTAGTATAGAAGTATCGTCATTTTTAAGCTAGTAGCTTGAAAATGGGGGGTAAAAGAAAATAGGAGATGAAAGTTTTTTTGAAAAATCATTTTTGATCCTTATCAGTTTTGAAGCTAGAACGATGAAATTTTTTTCTTGGATTTTTTGGGTTACATTATTGAATATTTTTCAAGATCACTTTGATACGCGGAAAGTCGCGAGTTGCAGGGAGTTTTTTTCAGACTACTCTAATGCTGTTGTCCGTAGCTGGCCTTTACAGCTTCATCGGACGATAGGGGGCGAGTGCAGATGTCACTCGAAACCAAAGGAAGGACTTATGGAGCGGCTGAAGGCCAATTCCCGCCTGACGGATACAACGCTAATCTAAAGGGAACCGCTTCGAAACTCGGGTCAAGCCTTCGTAATTTCGACCCCCCTTGAATTGAGCGAGAGATCAATCAGAGGGGCAAAGGACTTGGGGATTAATCAAGGGCTAAACCATCATATGGGTACTAAGTTCTTGTCTATTTGTATTACAGGCGATCAACAGTCATGGACGGCACAACTCTTCCGTGGAACTTGTCCAGAGGCCAGTCGTGGAAGACGTTGAGGCGGACGGTGCCAAGGTTGCCTGGAAGGTCCACTCGCACCTGCCACTCGAAGCTGTCCAGATTCAGGCATTCCCATTCGGCATAGTATGTATTCTCATATTCTGTATTAGATACCATCCTCTTGCCATCAGATGTGCCCTATGTTTGTTTACCATCAAAAAATTAAATCTCTTTTCTCAGGACGAATCTGTGTCGCAGAATCCTAGTGATATATCTGTATCACTGCCACAAGAAAGTGGGTTGAAACTGTACGAAATGAGCTATGAGATTAGCAGCCTCCCTGCTGGCAAGTATGAGGCCATCGTCAAAGCGAAGAATAGTAAAGGATGGAGCAGAGAACCTAAGCCTGTGATCCTCAATATTGGTAAATATAAACCTCATCCTGGATAGCGTGAAGATATTATGTGTGCACATACACATGTATAAACAACACACACACAACGAAATTTCATACTCACAACAAAATTGTGAGTATGAAATTTCGCAAGCTTATAGTTTTTTAGAGAAGGAGTTCGGAATAAAAGTAGCCTAAATTACTTCTTATTACATCAACTACCTACCAAAAAAAACCCGATAAAAATTCCAGAGAGATTTCTCGGGTCCATCCATTTCAGGGCTGGAACAAACAGATAAACAGACAGACAGACAAAGATTGTAATAAATGTTATTTTGGTGTATGTACCGTATTTATGTCCATATGCATGTAGTAAAAATGGTTATTTCAATATTACAAACAGACACTCCAATTTTATTTACATGTATAGATTATGAATAAATAAAACAGTATATCAATAAAAAAAAAACATTGCTCTCACTGCGATGTATTTAACACACACACACACACACATATATTGTTAGTCTGTGGTCATCACAGATTTATACTTCACGCATTCTGATATAATTATTTGGCTTTTGCGTTATTTTTTTCTTTATTTAGTTATGTTACTGGTTTCTTTATATTGCAACATCTTTAGAACCGATTTTACTTACAACTAAGTGAATGAAGCATTTTAACAAAACATTAGAATGTCATTTCATCTTCATGTAAATAAATTAACTTTGATATTTGCCATTTTGTCATTGAATACAAAATATAGTAAATATTAATAAAACACAAGTTAATACGTCTTAAACGAACTTACTTTAAGTTAACTAAATCATTTATAATGGTTATATCAAAATCAAATTATCGATAGTCAGTTAGTTAATTTTATAATGTATAATGATCATTAAATGGGGAATAAAAATTAAATTAATGACGTCATTAAAATTTAATACATAAATTTTTAATTACTAATTAATTTAATTACTGAACTCAAAGTTATACAATAGTATGCACTTTGAGAAATTGATGCTGTAAATACAGAAAAAAATTGTTTACATATAGACGTATTTCTGTCACTTTACATAGGTATATTTTTATGATAATTCACTGTACAAAGTCATTTATTTATTAATTAGTATGTTCATATATTATGATTAATTTCATTTCTTTCATTGTTATATAACATTTTGTTTGATTTCTTTTTAGTTGAGCAGTCCATGTATATCCAACGTAGCTCAGGTGTGTTTTAATTTTATTTTATTTTTAATTACTTTACTTTTATTCTATTTTTTTTATGCGCTATACAATATTAATAGTGCAGTGAAAATTTTTGTATAAAAGAATGCAACGTTGTAATTTGGTATAAGAATTGTGTAAGTTATTAATTTACTGACATATATATAAATTAAATATTTAGTGTAAAAATTACAGTTTTTTGTGTTTTTGTATTAACTGTACCAAATTTCAATGCCGCAATTAGACAAGATTCTACTTTGGTACTAAATTTTTTTGAGCTGAGATATCATATAATAAACTTCAGTAGAATCATTCTAATCATAAATACATACTCATAGATGCCGTCACAAATGCATATACTGAACCCTTTTAGTACAGCAAAGGGAGATTGTAAATTCTGCATGAGTATCTCTATATCATTTATTTCTGCCGCTTTATTTTGCATGCCGATTTTCAATTAGAAGGTTGAGATATGTCAGTTAAATTATTGGGTACGACCTTAGTATATAGGAATAGCAATACATTAGAGGTTTCACTAAGGTTATATTATGTTCGTTGAGGTACATTGTCCGTATGTATGTCATAGGTAGTTTCCAACACATCGAGCTGCTGGAATCCAATGAACCTATCCAATAAGCCGTTACTGATTACATATGTATTACGCTTGGGATTTATTCAATGTATTTTTGATTCTACCCCCATATTCCAAATACATTTGGATTAATAATAAACCGATAAGAAACTAGCTATTTTTATTTATAGTTAAACTAACTACTCGCCCCGGCTTCACCCGGGTGTACATGTATTATTCATATAAACCTTCCTCTTGAATCACTCTATCTATTTAAAATCACCGCTTCAAAATCCGTTGCGTAGTTTTAAAGATTTAAGCATACATAGAGACGGACAGACAGCGACCGCGACTTTGTTTTATAATATGTAGATAAAACTATAAAATAGAAAATTTTAATAAATCGCTTACACAAGTAAATTACAAAATATGTACATAATATTTAATGAAGCGACCAATAAATTATAATACTACCTTCATTATGTAAAATAAGCTGTGGAATATTATGCATCAAGATGCAATGCATTACATACTAAAAACTATAAATAAAAAAACCTAGTTGTCAATATAAACTACTTAGTACAATATTATAAAAGTCATGAGATTTATACATATAATAATGACAGATATAAAGTTCAAAGCAGAACTAATCCTTAATTATAATATTTTAGAAAGTACAGTCATCTGATTCGTGCGGCCACTAGTATCTGGATTGACTAAAAATCCAGATGATTTTGACGCGCATAACTGAATTCAGACGCTTGATTATTACTTAAGTAGGATTAAGTGAAAATAATATGTCTTTAATATGTTTTTAGTATTCCGAGGTGCTGCCAGTATGGTGACGGGATCCACGACTCTCCTATTGACCACACTCACCTATCTCCTTGTCCGGAAGCTGTAAATGTAGTGTTAATTACTTATTTATTGTTATATATAGTACATACTACAACTGCTTTTAAGTGTTTGCAATTGTCTACTTGATATATATATGAGACATTATTAATATTACATTAGGGAATTACACAACTATGAAATTGTTAAAGACTAGGTACAATAAAATTCAGTCACATCTGAAATTCAGACGTTTTTGACTGAATTCTTTCTTCCATTCATTGATGAATCCTGGCGAATCACTTCAAATTAATTAACAATATACATACAGTTCTATTATACAATCCCTATCAATTGATCAATCAGTCACTGCCTCAATCCAATTTAATGTATGACAGTTTGTGAATTCGTCAATATATAAGTTTACAATTAGGTATTACTAAATATATTGAATCATACAATATATAGTTTTTTTTATAGATGAATGTGGAATAGTGTACTTGCCTGATCTGACGGTATATACTAACATTACACCAGTAGACGAAGATAGTAAAAACATATGGTCAAGTATTTTTTTTATACCACAATGGTGATAATAAAGCATACAGACCATCTGATAGTAAATGGCTATAAACGTCTGAAACATCAGGAATGTCACGTGTGCGTTCTAGAAAAACCTATGTTGTAGTCTCTAATTAGTCCAGTAACGAATTTACTAGGAACTTTCGGTGGTGATCGCGTGGAGGTCGACCTGTCAAATGGTGTAACTAGTACTCATTATTAATAATGCCCTCCCTAGTATAATTGTAAGCTTACAAAGTTATCTAACTATAACTTATAACTTACCATAAATATTTATTTACGGTGTATACAGCACTCTATGGGAAAGAGTTTAGGATGGAGTTGAATCTCATGAGCCTATTTTGGACTACTCTAGTTAATCCAAGTCAATATTTATCATATTTTCGGTGGTCTAAAGGTGTAGCACAACACTTTACTTCCAATGGTCGCGGGTTCGATTTCTCGCACGTTACAAATATTTGTATACATGAGTATGATTGTTTGTATCAGTCTGAGTGTTTTTTAAATGTAGGTTATGTATGTATTTAAAAAAATATCTAAGTATATCAGTTGTCTAGTACCCATAGAGTATAAGCTCTGCTTATCTTGGAACTGGACGTTGTGTGAGTTGTCCAAAGGCATTATTATTATTTTGGTAACAGAATTAACTAGGGCTTTCTGAACTAGGCTTACAATTAAAATGATTGGTCGATGATATAATAAACACATTATGTATATCTTTAACTAATCATCAATATAAATCATAAAAGTCAATGTAATTTAAAAAAAAATCATCAAACGACGTATAAATCGCAAGGTTTTTATCATTCGTCATGTCTTACAATTAGACTTAAACAGCTAAATAGATTTCAATACAATATATTATATAAATCTACTATATTGTTAATTAATATAGATGTGTAACAATAATCGTAAACTATAAAAACAAAAAACAAAAAATTAAATATCTTAAAATTTTAACTCCCCTAAACTTTTGGCTCTACTTTAATTATTTATATTGCATATTATTACTAACTAATGACAGATAATGTTGGTATTATGACGGAATAAAAGAATTTGAATTGAATGAATAAAATCTAGTAATTTTATGGTCATGTAGGGAGATTACCATATGGTTTAAAAAAACTTATTAACACATTTTATTAACTACGTACATACTAAATAATTCATTTTACTTAATTAAGTAATTAACGAGTATTAAAAGTTATCAAGTAACTTGTATAATAATTATTATACATTACTTTTTTTAAGTATAATTAATAATAATTTATTTATTGTACTATACCTAATTGTAAACTTTATTTAATATAAAAATACTTAGCCTATTTTGACTGCCTTACAACTAACATTTATTTAATACTAAATTTCTTGTGATGAGACAGCTTTCCGAATAAGCGGTAGATTTAAAAAAAATGTTGACTATTCAAAAGTGCTTAAATTAAGTTTAGATTTAGAATAGAATAAAATAGAATAGAAAATCATTTATTCAAATAAACTTAATTTAAGCACTTTTGAATAGTCAACATTTTTTTTTAAATCTACCGCTTATTCGGAAAGCTGTCTCATCACAAGAAACTTGTGTGTTGCTCTTTTAAACAATCCTTGTAAGTTCACATTTTACAAGTCGAAACGTGTGAATACAAACTACCAACCAGCACTAATTTATTTAGGCTCAAATATAACAACACAATAAGATTAAATCAGTCGTAGTGATAAGAGCAGACAAAATTGGATCGTGAACCTTGTGTATGAACAATGTGTCATATTCATATCAATAGTACATATATATAATGCGAATATAGATTTAATACTTTCAGTGAACAAACTTCTTTTTTAAATATAAAAAAGCTATTATTTTTTTGAACGTACTGAAATAAGGTTCACCTAATTAAGGAGTACTTTATTTACTTAATATTACTTTAGTAACGAGTATATTTGTTATTTGCTTTTATAATTTCCCGTCAAACGGTATCATATGACTCGGCGGCGAATTACACTTGTATAATGTTATTGTTGTACAATATTGAAGCATTTTTATAAAGACCTATTACATTATCAGAATACAATTATTGCAGGTACTTAAAATTATGCTTGAAAGTCACATACGTACGCGCTCGTACATGATATGTTTGATTATGTCTATTTTTAAAATATATGTACAGCATTTACACCAATAAATCTACTTATTGTATTTTATAAGAAAATAATGTATTTTTTATAAGTTCTAATACATTTGTTAAATGTGTACCATAAACCACATCTATAGTGCACAGATAAATTAACACTGTGTGTTACTGGAAATGTAGTAGACTAATAGACGGTAGAATGTGTCAAATATGAATTGTATCGTGTTCCTCATTGAATAATGCCATCATTGAAAATGTTGAATGCGACTATTTTATTACTACCTTTATTTGAGTTTATGTTAACGTCATCTTGTTAACATTCATTCAAACATTCAAAGCCGTTTTGCTTTTAATAGTTTTTATATTTTCCATCTCGTTACACATACTATTATCTGTCACAAAGTACAAATAAAAACAATAAAATCCCAGTAACTTTATTCTGTTAAGATTACTATATATTTTTCTTACCTATAATAATGATGTACAGTTTAATGATTAAGGAAATACATATATAAGTAAACAATTGTATTCTGAAAAGAAGGAAATATGAAACCAAGCGAACAATATATGCGCAGTTGAAATGTAACTCTATTTTAGTAATACTTGGCAGCTTGGTTTTCGTTAGTTTTATTTGTCGAATTGATTTCCCAAAATTTTGGTTATTTCTTAAAATTTAGGTATTTTAAGTTGATTATGTATTCATAAATTAACTGAATTCGTAATTAAATATTAATTTATGAATAGATATATATTAAACCATTTTGTTCCACATGCGTATAATTGAAATTTCTGTAAATATTATTTTATCATGAAATTTGTTTTACTTAAGGTTTTCAATAACATTAATTAAGTAATTTAGGTAATAATACTTTAGTTAAATATTACCAAAGTCGAAACACATTAGTTTAGTTCACGTATATGTCCATGCTTTTAATAATTCAGATTTCACGCAACAAAATGCTACTTAAGTTAAAATTACAAACATTATTGTATGTCTTATATTAATAAAATTGTTATTTTCATTCAACTGAATTAGTTTTCAATGGTTGACTATTAGAAAACGGCATGGTGTTAAGTCGTTAACTGCACTGTTGCATTATGAGCATTAAACTGAAAAAAAAAAAATTTTAATGCACACAAATTTATATTTTTAAACTAAACAGGGCTCGTACAATGAGAATGTTGTGAGTCGAATCAATTTTGTAGTTTTTGCATTTATAATGATGTATATACATACATCAATATACCTAATTTACAAGTGATCTAGATTTATATAATTGTATACAAACACATATAAACGTCTACTATATATATAGTGTTAAAACTCATATAATTTCGGAAGATAGTAAATTTCAAAGAGCTATGCTAGAATATGAACTAAAATATCGTGCAGTTATGTCATATTTTTTAATATTAATAAAGTAATAAAAAAAGGATGAAACAGTTCAATAGCGAAAATAGATTTATTAGACTTTTTATTATTATCTATGGATTGTACACTGGCCATAATAAATATAATTAAAAGATAATGAATAAGCTACTTACCATATAGTCATAGTTTTAATAATATGTGCCTCATACATCCAAGACGGTGCTTATAACTACAATGTAATCTTTCAAATGAATTTGTATGAAACAACCAGCAAAATACGCAAATACCTATAGTATTTTTATAATGATTAATACTATAATTCCACTAATACAAATATAAGCTATACATATGTATAATAAACATTTCATTTATATAAATTCAAAATATGTTTGTATTTATTTTATATATTGTTCCACGTTCAAATATAAAAACATGTTTCAAATTAAGAATGTATTAATTCCACACAATTAATAATCAACTTTAATAATTTATATATAAAGTTAAATTCCCAATAAATTATAAATTCGATCTTCCGCATATATATTTTGATATTATTATAAACAAGGAATAATGAATTTAACTAAGAAAGGAAAACGGTACTAAATGCATTGCGCTACATATTTTAGAGGTCACTTAGCATGAACTAGTCTTATAAAATAGATCTCCTAAACAAACATTTTACTTTATCATATAATATGTAAAATTACCCCGTCAAATAATTCCATACACATAGTTCATAATATTACTTCGAATGTTATGTGAATTTACAATAAATGTATCGAAAATATATATATATATCTTTAAAAATATGAAACCGACAACGTAGCATAAATGTTTAATGTTAATTATATGAGTATTGGATCTATTGTCCATTATATATGAATATATTAATATGCTGTGTCGTCTCATAAAATATATGTATGTTAATATACTAATAGTTGAAGCTTGGCTGGCTGATTTTATAGTCTCTACTACACGCACGGACCAAATTCGGCCTAAATCTTAATTGCTTATTAATATCCAAGACTTTGAATTGAATTATATATATAAGAGAACGTATGTTGTCAATGAACATATATACAAAGCTACAAATGTTGAATACGGTGCCTTTTAAATGTAACCAGTGATAGCTTCGAGATAACTATATAAAATAAATTTATGTTCTTGTAAATATGAAAAGTTTGTTTTATTTAATAATCAATTGTTTCCTTTGGAGATCGCGAATTGGCAAACTTAGTGTACGGAGCTAGGTGGACGATATACGTAGGGTTACGGGTAAAAACTGGAAGAGAGGGGCTAAGGATCATGCCTTGGGAGAGGTCTATGTCCAGCAGTAGACTGCAGTGGGCTAATGATGATGATTATGATATGTTTCCTTTTAAGCCACACTAATATAATTCTTAAATTCATTGAAATGTTTTAACTCAAAAAGAAAGGAACAAACTAGAAGCTTTTGAAATGTGGTACTGGAGAAGAATGGAAAGAATTAGCTGGAAAGATAAAGTAAGAAATGATGAAGCATTACACAGGATGAAAGAAAAGAGTCAGATATTCTTTGTTATGGATGATAATGGAATGGTGCTCCCACCTGTGCTAACGGTTTACGCTGGCGGGGCACCAGTGGAGGATGATAAGATGAGCATGAAGTCAGGTCAGTTAGTCCATCGTGGTAAATTCCCTATGAATTTATCACGATACTTTCCAGGGGTACCACGTAGAGGTCAACCTGACATGGTACATTGCTAGTAACCAGGTTATTAGTCAAGGCCCTATGGGATCTTAAATTAAATGGACTGTATGTTTAAATACAATGTATTGCGAATTTATAAATTAATCGAATAAGAGAGTGACGACGCGCGTCCTTGAAGCCGCTCTTGAAGCGGCACTCAGTATTTAAACATACAGTTCATTTCATTGAAGATCTCTTAGGGCCTTGACAAGTACACATTACTAACAATCCCCTTCTCCCAAAGGCAGATATTGAATACTATAAAAAATTGACGAGGAAAAATGTTAAGACAATACGGCACGATGAATTTATGAAAGTTATAATTGAGGGAACGATAGAAGGAATTAGGGGAGAGGAAGACCAAGGCACAGCTACATCAAGCAAATGAAAGACAGAATTGGAATCGTGTCAGTATACGAGGCATTTTAATCCTCCTGAATAACAACGCGTGATCCCACAACGTGGGAAGGCCTCCAGCAAGGTAGACCGACAGTCTGGTCAAGATCGCTGGAAGGCATTGGATGCGAGCAGCGCAGGACCGATCGTCGTGGAGGTCTTTGGGGGAGGCCTATGTCCAGCAGAGGACGTCTTTCGGGCTGCGATGATGATGATACGTGATCGGGATATATGGCCGACGGATACCCATTCAAGTTTTTTTTTATACTACTATTGTATATATATATAACTCAAAGGTGACTGACTGACTGACATAGTGATCTATCAACGCATAGCCCAAACCACTTGACGGATCGGGCTGAAATTTGGTATGCAGGTTGATGTTATGGCGTAGACATCCGTCAAGAAAGGATTTTTATTAATTCTACCCCCAGGGGGATAAAATAGGGGATGGAAGTTTGTATGAAACTTTGGGAATTTTAAACCGATCGGACTGAGACTGCATGCATAACGCTACTATGACTTAGGCATCCCCTAAAAAAGGATTTTGATAAATTCCACCCCTGAGGGGTAAGTTTTAAAATAGAGATTTTGATAAATTCCTATAATGAAAACCCGTGAGGGGATTAAAATAGTAAATGGTTTGATTGATGATTGTATAAATTCCACGCGGACGAAGTCGCTGGAACAGCTAGTTGAGATAATAAACCTAAGTTACTCTATTCGTTGTATATTTAAAAATATCACAACACAGAAGACCGAAGGGCTGGCAGCTACCTTGGACAAAGAATTAGTCTAGCTATTCAAAGAGGGAACGCTGCCAGTATCTTCGGAACGTTGCCTAAAGGGACCCCTTTTAATAATATATTTTAGTCATCATATTATATTTCTTTAAGCTTTTTATTTTTAGGTTCTAAGTTGTACAATTAGGTAGGTAAATAATTTAAAAAGTTTCTATATATATTTCCTGTATATGCTTTGAAAAGAGAACGCCTCTAAGAAGTTTTGGGAAAACGTCAAAATATTGTGGTTCAGTCAAAATGAGTGTCCAGATTCCCTAAGACTATACATATTTTTTTTTCTCTATATAGCAATACATTTATTGCATTTTCCTCGCAATGGTGCACACATCTGTGAGTATTTAATTTTAAGAATCTTGGAGAAGTTATAGACGCTTCAGTTTTTATAGTCGCCTGTCTGAGGTCAAACCTTGAACATATTTTAAAGAAACTATTACATGTGAATGTGGATGGTTATAAAGGTAGAGGAGTCGAAAAAGAGATAGATGTACTGTGTGAAAGATGATATGGTAAGAAAGGGAGTAACTTAGATTGTGGAATGAATTTCCTGCCGAGGTTTTGCCACGAGAATAGAATAGAATAGAAATCATTTATTCAAATAAACTTAATTTTAGCACTTTTGAATAGTCATAACAATTTGTTTTTTATCTACCACTCGTTCGGAAAGCTGTCTCATCACAAGAAGAACGAGCAAGAAACTTGTGTGTTGCTCTTTTAAATAATCCTTGTAAGTTTACAGTTACAAGTCGAAACGTGTGAATACAAACTACCAACAAGCACTAATTTTTTGGGTCAAATAAAATCATGCAATAAGATTAAATCAGATTAAATCAACAAGCAGCACTCGTTCACGAGTATAACGAATGTACCAGCCATCACTGCGCTCGACCATAATTTAGGGAGCCCATTGACCCGGCCCACCACGCCGCCACATGTCTGGACATTTTAGTGAGCATGACTACTCATTCCACACGACCACGTCACAGCTACAAAAATTACTATATGGTAGTTACAGTATTCGCACTTTACATAAGGATGCATGCGGCAATCAATACAAAAGCCGCTACGCTATCATATATCAAGAGAGACTACAGCATGAGGTTGTTCAAGGGTTTATTAAGGTTTTTTAAGAGTCAGTAACGCGCACGTGACACCCCTAGTTTCAGGCGTCCATAGAATACGGTAAACTTTTACCATCAGATGCGCCATATGCTTGTTTACCACCATCATAGTATAAAAAAGAAACGAGATGACTGTGAGCAGGGATGAATGAAAGAGAACATATTACACCGACTGCAAGTGAATGGGATACCGAAGAAGATGATGTTAAAAAATCTTAGTGACAACTGACAGCAGTCCCTGCTGTCAGTTGTCATACAGAAGACAACAGCTCATCTTATCATCCTCCACTGGTGGAAGTCGTGGGAAGTATAAAATATACCTAGTAGTCGCGGACGAAGGCACGTGGAATTCAACCTCCACTGGTGCCCCGCCAGCGTATACCGTCCGCGCAAGCGGGTGCACCATTTCATAATCATCCATTAAAAAGTATAGTTTAAAATCATTTGGCGTTTTTTTTATAGGGCCTGTCAAACCGTGACACTCCACGGCACAATCCAGTAAGTAATTACTAAACAATCTATATATATAAATAAAATTTGAGTGGTCTGTTTGTAATATTGAAATAACCGTTTTTTTACTATATGCATATTAATATAAATACGGTACATTCACCAAAATAAGGTTATTTACAATTTTTGTCTGTCTATCTGTCTGTTTGTATCGGCTAATCTCTTAAGTAGCTGGACCGATTTGACGGCTCTTTTTTTGACAGGTAGCTGAAGTAATAAGGAGTAACCTAGCCTAGGTTACTCCTTTTATTTTAGAAAAATAAAGGTACAAACCACGCGGACGAAATCGAGGGAACAGTTAGTTATTATTAATAAAATTAACAAGCAAAATAAAACATATTTAAATATTTATTCAGTTAAATAAATTAGTTTTTACTCCTAAAATTGTAATATTAAAATTAAATGTAAATTACAAATATAATAGGGAACACCAGGCACAACACATGGCGGCAAATTTGAGATAAAGGCATCACCGCGAGATGCTGAGAAGTATGACTTCATCTCAGCCAGAGGAGTGGGGAAAACCACCAGGTCTTGTATACTTGTATATTTAAAACTGCGCCTACACTTGTAATATACACACATTTGTAATGTACACTTGTAATATTTCTGTCAACACTTGGCACCCTTCCATTAATACCTCTCCACATAACAGATTTAAGTTCAGTGTAAAGTCAGTCCACGTTACGACTCGCGTCGAATGTACGCGTTACTAATAAGCCATGTAGCATACTATCCAATAAACTAACTAATGTACAATAAATAGTACAGTTATTACACTTGTATATACTCACTACCTGCATACTACAATAAACAAATAAATTATGTAACGACACCTCATCACATCATATATAACGCTACAGTGGTTGACGACCTCGGTGGTCTACCGGTCAAGCACACCGCTTGACGACCGATGGTCGCGGGTTCGATTCCTCGCACGGCACAAACATTTGTATTCATGAGTATGATTGTTTGTATCGGTCTGGGTGTTTTCTATGTATAATATGTATGTATTTACAAAAAAAAAAATATCTATGTATATGTATCAGTTATCTAGTACCCATAACACAAGCTCTAGCTAGCTTAAGTTGGGTCTAGATGGCGCTGTGTGAATTGTCCAAGAAAAAGAAAGAAAAGTGGTGAGATGATAACCAACGTGCTATAAAACAATCAATTTGTATGCTTGCTGCAACTTGCTGAGCCGTGTAACGTTACAGTTTATACGAAAAATATGTTTAAAAAATCATTTACTAACTCAAGTTCATTAGTTACTTATAATCATAGATTTATATCGGCAGATGAAAGCATAATATTGGACACAATCCAATATTAACTCCTATACCATGCTGAGAGACTGGTTGTTAATAACCATAGTAATATTAACATCCCGAATACAACTATAATGTGCTCGTCATCCTACTCCCCTCCGATCGATCCCCCGTCCAATTTAAACGGGGATGAAATGGAAATGGAAATTACGACGGCCTGAGCCGAGGTTCGAACCCCTAGCGGTGCCCTCAGACTAAAGTCGTATCCGTCAGGCGGGAGTTGGCCTTCAGCCGCTCCATAAGTCCTTCCGCGGGTTGGAGTGCCATCTGCACTCGTCCCCCTATCGTCCGGTGAAGCTGTAAAGGCCAGCTGCGGCCAACAGCGTTAGAGTAGTCCGAAAAAAAAAAGTCTGCAGAAGAAGCCATTTTTAATCTTTTATTTTCCCGCGCAAATGTAATGCTCACCGGACAATAGGGGGCACAGGTACAGGTGGCACTCCAAACCCGCGAAAAAACTTCAGGAAGGCATGTGCCTATGAATATAAATACGGTACATACACCAAAAAACATTTTTTACAATTTTTGTCTGTATGTCTGTCTGTTTGTTCCGGCTGATCTCTGAAATGGCTGGACCGATTTTGACGGGACTTTTTTTGGCAAGTAGCTAATGTAATAAGGAGTAAGGCTACTTTTATTTTAGAAAAATAAGTTAATTTAAAAAAAAACGTTTTTTACTACATGTAAAAAACGATTATTTCAATATTACAAGAGACACTTCAATTTTATTTATATGTATATATTACACGTACTACCATATGTATTTGATACATACATACTTTTTTGTTTATTGTTAAAGTCTCTGGTCAAATTGAGAATAGATTAATATTTTTTTGCATTTAATATTATTTATGAATTTATAATGTCTTTGTAGAAAATATGTAACTTAAAATTCATAGCGCTGACAATGTTATCTGATTGAACTGAGATTAAGTGCGTAGCGGTTTCTATGTTGATTGTCGCATGCAATGAAAATATAATAAAATCAATATTTATTTAAACGAGCAACACACAAGTTTCTTGCTCATTCTTCATCACAGAGTTTGTATTCCGAATGAGCGGTTGAATAAAAAAACTTGACTATTCAAAAGTGCTTATATTAAGTTTATTTGAATAAAGATTATTTATATTTCTATTTATCTATACCGTGTATGGCAATAGTTGTTCATGCACGGGATTTTCATTTAATGTTAGACATAAACACCTATATAAAAACCTATACATTGTAAATTAACTGGCTTTTAAAAAAAAAGTAATTCAATTGAGTTTCTTGCCAGTTCTTCTCAATTGGATCTATATACCGAACTGGACGGTAGGGAAAAAATAAAATTATAAAATGGCTAAAATGTCCTACATGAATATGTGATTTTTTAATTAAAAATATGATTTTTTTAAAATTTTATATCTTACTGAATATTAAATTAGTTATCATCAAATTTCGACCAATTGGCGACAACTAGTAACTATAGTTAGGTACAATAAATACAGTTATTTGCACCTACAACGGACTTCCGTTTGTGTTTGCTCTGAACAAGCCTTGGTTCAAAGTATGTACAAGGTTGCACTGCGGGTTCTGAATTATGCGAGTTATTTCCTTTAACTAATAATGTGATTGTTGACTGTAGGTTTATAGGATGCTGTGATTATAAAGTGTTATATCTCAATTTGTATCCTAGTTTGATTTTATTGGGGGCTAGCTCACCCGTCGACCTGCCTTCCGCTTCAGATTTCACTTCTTCTGTAGGTGCCATCCCCTGTTGGAGTTTGGCGATCATTATGGCGCTTATTATTTTATCCACAGTGTAAGATTTAACTATATAGAATAGAAAATCATTTATTCAAATAAACTTAATTTAAGCACTTTTGAATAGTCAACAATTTTTTTTGTCTATCGCTTAATCGGTAAGCTATCTCATCACAAGAAGACTAAGCAAGAAACTTGTGTGTTGCTCTTTTAAACAATCCTTGTAAGTTCACATTTTACAAGTCAAACGTGTAAATACAAACTACCAACCAGCACTAATTTATTTAGGCTCAAATATAACAACACAATAAGATTAAATCAGTCGTAGTGATAAGAGCAGACTAGTCCCTACAAGCGGCACCCGTTTACATGTATTACGGATATATAATCTGTCTTATCTGTAGATTTACTATCCCATGGGAACTCTTTAATTTTCCATTATTAAAAGACGTTAATATTGAATTTGTACACCATACAGGGCGTTACAAAACTATTTTTAATATGCACTAAATGAAAAGCAGGTAATTTGAAATTTCCAAATCGGATACTCAATTTTATTCATTTGTATAGATTAAATTATTTTTTTTATTGGGTTGTTTGGGCTATTGTCAGGTGCTTGGACCTGTAGCACTGCGACCTACATAGATCTATTGTGCTCGCCCTTTTTCAGAGTTCACTACCAAGACCCGTCAGGGACAAGAATTGAAGGATATTCTAAGAAATGATGGTTTTTATCTCCTCAGGAAAGAGTGTAAACTTTCTAAAGATATTTCGTTCATATATGAGTGAGCTACAACAAACGGCGGATCCAGGGTGGGTCATGGGGGGTCATGACCCACTCTGAGCTGGTTTCAGGACTTAGGTGGACCACTAATTGAACAGAATGATTTTAATTATATATTTTGTCACCATACAAATTTTATATAACTACCTTCAATATTTAATTAATTTAATATAATATGATAACTATGTATTATTAATATAAATACCTACTTTTTACTTGTATCTATTGTTATCAAAATTAAATAATAAGTTCTTGACTTGACCACAACTACACCCCACAACGTGACCCCCTCCTGGCGCCAAAGTTGGATCCGCCCGTGGATAAAACCATATAGGATTTGTAGTGGCGTTTCCTCTTCAGTTTGGCAAGATCTGCAGATTTTCATTTTCATTAAATCAGATAATGGTATTCGACAGTGTGATAGAATCTATCGGCCATTTGATCAAGAGCTGCCTCGGCGGTGGTGTGGTGGCCATCCACGAGGCGTACATGGACTGCGGGCTGTGGACCGCTCTCATACTCAACGTGTTCTTGGGTTTCGCAGTCAGCTATTGCATGTTTGTAAGTTTCTTTCATCTATTTCAAAGATTCATGATGAGTTATTTGAGTGTTTGGAAAAATGGCGTTTAAGAATTCAATCAGCTTTCGAGGAGCTGGTTCAATTCCTAGACGCCTCATTTTTCCGCTGGCTTACCTGACCTGACCTAACGGTATACGCTGGTGGAGCCCCAGTGGATAATAAGGTGAGCGTAATGAAGTCAGGACATTTCTTCTCCTCTTCTTCAGCATCTGTCAGTTCAGTACTGGACCTATGCCTCCTGTATAATTATCCACCTCCTACAGTCTGCAGCGCATCTTGTCCAGGTCAGTCCTGCCGTCTCCTGGATGCCGTCCGACCATCTGCGTCATCTCATTAGGGATCAGGGCAATTAGCGTGGTGAATTTGCCAAAAAGAACGTATCATGTACTTTCCAGAAGGAACGTATAGATCTAACATAGTATATTGCTGACAATGAGATCGCTAGGACCCTTTACAATTATTTGAGAAAACATATTGGAAATTCACATAATAATAATAACCCTGATCAATTAACACAACGCCGTTTAGTCGCAAGCTAAGCAATTATAAGCAATAAACGACGCAGAAATACTTAAATACATTGTTTTTGTAAATACATGCATAGATCACGTGCATTGCCATCCGGAAGCTTAATATGTCATGCCTCGTATCCTGTAATTTCACTGCCTTATCACCCTTTATCTGAAGTCGATGTGACTGAGATACTGATGCAGACTTATCTGATATTTCAGATATTGGCAGAATCAGCACAGAAAATGTACGGACGAATACAAGTTCCCAAACTGACATACCCAGATTTGGCGCAGGCATCGTTGGAGGCAGGCCCTTGGGAGAGATTAAAGAAATACGCGATGGCTTTTAGGTAAACATATTACAAAAAGGGTAATAGATAGTATTTTTTTTTGTAACTGGACTAATAGTAATAAAATTCCTAGACGATCCATACAACCCCCTCTAATCCCAAGCTAAGCAGAGCTTATGTTATAGGGACTAGACAACTGACAGAAATACTTAAACCTTTTTTTTTATTAATATATAGGTACATAACAATTGCTATCTATCGACGAAACTGCGGCTCGACTGTTTCCAGTTCCTGTTTGGTCGCCGAACAATCAACAGTAGGCTCCCAATTCGAACTCTATTCATTGCCTTATAAAACCTCGTTTAGAGGCGAAATACGTGTCGCAATATGAGTAGACTCAATAACGGTCGGAATTTCATCACCAATAGAGAAGGTCGTAACGCTACCAGTACGGTGGTCAAGTTTCCGCACTGAATGTTTGTGGTCTCACACACGCTAATTGTAGCGGCATTAAACAAAATAATATAAATTTATTGATTAATTTTTATTTATTTAATTTAGGCTAAAAATCGCCTATATTATAAATACCTTATAGACTAACGTATATATGAAATAGTATAATTATCTCTGTTGTCACGGCACTGGCAACCACAATCTGCTACGGTAGCGCTAATATACCACCTCCATCGCCCAGTAATCCTTCTTCATGAAAGTGGGGAGCATCTGCTAAATGAAATGGACTTCATCAAAATAACACGTAATTCAATAAAACAAACAGATACGCAGTGGACGCAATAATAGTGGTGGATCTCTTTGGCTCGTGCTGTGTCTACCAAGTGGTGATTGCTCGGACAATGAAGCAGTTGGTGGAGCAGACGAACGAGGTCAATGATGGAGGGAACCCTTCATTAAGGATGTACATACTGACGTTGATGCTGCCATGTATACTGATCTGCATGATACTCACGCTTAAGTACTTAGCGCCATTTTCACTAGTAGCCGATGCCTTTATTGGTAAGTGTGGGTGATAATCATAGTTCCGAAGAGCAAATAAATGTATTCCTTTTTGTAAAGAAGTGATATATTTTGATAACACAAACTTCTGAATAGTCGTATTTTTTATATTCGGAACGCATACTCATTACAAGAAGAACGAGCAAGAAACTTTATTTAAATTATTAACCGGGTCTTAACACGAATAATTTCTCGACGCTTCGACTAGGTTGCACTAGCCGTGGTCAATACCTTTATTTGCCATAAAATTATCCGTGTTGAGACCCGGTTAATAATTTAAATAATGTATATTAAACACGAAAGTTTAGAATTAAAACTTGTTTTTTGCTCCATTAATAACATTTTGAAGATTTTGTGTTAAAAGATTTTGTGCCGAACTCGAGGCCGACCGAGATCGCGCCGCCGCTGAGTGGGAGCGAGCCGCTGCCGATCGGGACCGTATGGTAGCTAACTTAGAATTAGAGGCTGAATTTGCGGCTATCGATGAAGCTGCCAGCTTTCACTCACAGTCGTTTAGAAGCTCTAGAGTAGAAAATTGGGTATCTCATACTAATGCAGATTATGCCGTCCCAGCACACACCTGCGCCACAAGTGCCTAGTGTTTCCTGCCCAATGCTGGCCACAGACTGCGAACGTCGACTCTGTCGACGCATCTGTCGACTTCGAATCGACCTTATTGTTTATTTCTCTATTCTTTTCACAGTAATTGTAGCATTTGCTACAGTTTACTACGGAACAAAAAATGCGACCAAGAGTCCTCTAGAATTTGCGATCTTCAATAACAACGTGCCTGGACTGTTCGAATTCATTGGCGTTTGCGTCTTCAGTATGGAGGGAGTTGGAGCAACTCTCGCTATAGAGAATAATATGACAGAACCGAAGAAATTTCCTCTCGTCTGTATTGGAGGTAATATTTTTGAAATATTACTACTACACCCGCGACTGCGTCTTTCTTTTGAGAGAAAAAAAACAATATATGTTGCATATAGAGGTGAAACAGTAAAATATGTCCGTACTTCAATTATTGTATTCCCAGATAAAGCAACGCAGTAAATTAGCACTAGGACTACCAACTAGTACTAATTTAATTTAAAATATTCTTTTCAACACAACATTGTATACATGGGAGACTTAATGCCTGATGGCATTCTCTACCAGTCAACCATCGCGCTGTTCAGATATAGTAAGGGGGATAGTAAAATATGTCGATTGATTATTGATACTTTGTAATATCTAGTAATTCAACAGGAATGTCTGTCGTCGTGTCTATGGTAATGATCGTTGGCTTCTTTGGCTATTGGGGCTTTGGAGAGAAAGCGAAATCTCCCGTTACCGTCAACTTCCCGTGGCAACCGTAAGATTCTTCCTTATTTCTTTCAGTTATACTACAAGCTACTGTTTGAGGATTTCGTTTCGTTTTTGATTTTATTTATACACTTTATTATTATTAATAATAATAATATTTCTGGACAATCACACAGCCCCATCTGGTCTGGTCCTAAGCTAAGTAGAGCTTGTATTATGGGTACTAGACAACTGTTAGACTTTTTCTTTGTACCCATAACAGAAACTATGCTTACCTTGGATCCAGATGGCGCTGTGTGAATTGACCAAGGATATTATTATTATTTATCTTTTTTCTCTTTTATTTGGTCTGAAAGAATAAATATTATTATATCTATCTATTTATCTATTTCTTCTGCAGCTTCCCGATCCTCCTAAAAGCATTGATGGCTCTCATGATATACGTGACATTTGCTCTAAACTTTTGGATACCGTTCGAATTGGTCTGGCATTACATCAAGAAGAAGCACAACCCCGACAACTACTACATATGGGAGCGTGTCTACAGAGCCATACACGTTATTGGAATTACGCTGATTGCTTTCACATTTCCTAATATTTCTAAGTTTATTGGCTTGGTAAGTGATATTTATAATTTATTTTTGTACAGACACATATGTACAATATTACTGAAGAACGACGACATCCTACTCTAAAACTGTGTTGCGAATATCGAAGCCCTTCTTCGAGAGACGAACTTCTCAGCATTCCACGTTTTCACCGTGTGTGTGCCGGGTACATCGTGTAGCATAGAGGGAAACTCCGAATAGTTTCCGGGTCTTGTGACTTGGGTGTAGCTTTAAAAGGCCTCATGCCAACGTACGTCAATACGGTAAGTATTCACAGTTCATGTTTCTCTCACTGCCTAGCCAAAAGCTCATGTTTCTCTCTCTACTTAGACATATAAGTAGGAGTCTGCTAGTGCAGCTTCATATACATGTTCTTGTATAGAACTTACTGCGTTTTTTGAAGATTTTCGAGAAATTTCGCTGATATACCTATCGTACCAACTTCGATCGAAATTAAACATTTAGCCATTTTTCATTATTCATTTATTAGTTCGTAATATTTATTAATTTTTATTGTATAATACTATATGGTCTTTATATATTTGTTTCCCATAGTACAGCGAGATAGAAAATATAAAAATTTGAAGATGGGCTGACTGACTTCATGCTCATCAAATCTTCTTTTGTTATCCCAAATGTATCATACCATACTATTATCGTCATCAATGAAACATTATTCTTTCAGCTCGGCTCCTTTTGCCTATCCAACATGGGTTTCATATTCCCTGCATTCATCGAGCTCAGCTTAGTATGGGAGGAACCTGGTCTCGGAACTATGAAGTGGCGTCTTTGGAAGTTCATCATTATCTTAATATTTGGTCTCATTTTATGCTTCGTCGGTACTTACACAAACGCTAAGGAAATGATCAAAGAAGTCTTCTTTCAAAATAAGTAGACTAGCAGTAATTATAGTGATAAAATTGTAATTGAATTAACGTAATTTTCTTTGATTGTATGTATGTTGTTATTTATTTTGTACATGTTTCTTATTTCGGATTTTATATTGTTTTGAATTAAAAATTCACATTGAACCAATACATGGTATTGTTTTATTGTAATCGAAACCATCATAAAAATTGCTTAAACCCATGAGAATTTAAATAAATCCACTATTTTTGAAAGCTCATGTCTTTTTATCTTCACCTTGATTTAAGATCGTCAAATATCTGTCAAAGATCTGATAAAAAGTATTTTGTTGTTTAATTTTATTGATCTCTTGTGTCGTTTGCTGATGTAGTTTTATCAATATTAAAATCATCATCTGCTTTTTCCATATCCCATTTACTTGTGGTCGGCGTAATATGTTTTTCTCTTTCATTCATCCCTGTTCGCAGTCATTGCGCTATTTACTTCCTTTCTTACCATATCATCTTTCACACAGTCGATCCATCTCTTTTTCGGCCTTCCTCTACCCTTATAACCATCCACATTCATATGTAACACCTTACTTAAAATATCCTCATTCCTACGCATTACATGTCCATACCATGATAGATGATTACTCTTCAACCTCCTTATCAATATTAAAATGCCATACCAAATAAAATTGTTGAAGAAAAATCATGATCTTTATAATGGTAGACATTGAGTTCTAACCTTGATTACAAAATCTAATTAAATCTCATCAAAATATCTCTGTGTATCTATTAGAGACACTAGTCAAATCTACGGTCAGTTCGAAAAGTAGAACTAAGAAATAGCAGGAAGAAGAAATAGCTTACTCTAGAAATGATAGTAACATTAAAAAATATACATATATTGTTAGTAATTGTGCCAAGAAGTATAACACAATTCATTTTAGTTTACCGATACAAGAAGAAGGATTGAGGCTACACCAAACAGGCCAAATAGGTTGCACCTTGACACCTCTAAGCAGCATACGCCATCTGTTACCAAAGGAACAACAGAAATGCTTTAGTTTCAATATCGTATGCACAGAAGCTTCCTCTTCCTTGTGCACTTACTATTTTATAATCTCTTATAACGAGACAAAATGTAATAATAATAGACCAAAAATCTTTCGCGTGCTAATGAGACTGGAGACGGAAAAGACTTTCGCTCGAAAGGAGAAAAACTGTTCCCTTCTGTACATTTAAGTTCAGTTAAAAAAAAAACATGTATTCAAAAGAGCAACACACAAAGTTCTTGCTCATTCTTCTTGTGATGAATCTGCGTTCCGAATGAGTGGTAGAATTAAAATATGACTATTCAAATGTGCTTGTAATGAGTTTATTTGAATAAAGATTATTTCTATTTCTATTTCATTATATATAGGAAATCCTTCCTATAAGGCGTTATTATTATATAAGGCCTTATCCTTACTGACAAGAAACTCACCTCGTATTCTTTTCAAATAAATGTTGTACATATTTACAATAATACAGTTTCATTTTGAAATTCGCATTTGGGAGAAGAGTGGCCACCAACATATGCAATTGCAAAAGCAAATAGTCTAATCAGTGTTCGTAACCGGAACAGTCCAGTCCCCACAAGCAGCACCCGTTTACAAGTATGACGAATGAGCTAGCCATCATTGCACTCAACCATATTAGAGGGAGCACATCAACCCGGTCCACCACGCCGCCACAAGTTTGAACTTTATAGCGAGCATGATTGTTTCAAGTTATTCTACTACGTCATTTGTAATGTTTACAGAATAGGCTGTAACAATCACAATGCAACTTACCTGTGGCTGTCAAGTCTCACGTACACGTGTCCAGTAGCTGTATTGTTGATGACGATGTCAGACCAGAGTCGCTCCGCGACGGCCGACACTCGCGGCCACAAATGGTAATCCAAATTCCCTGGACAACATTTACTATGTCATATCGTGTGAACAACTAACCTATTTTGTTTATGGATGATAATGGAATGGTGCACCCGCCTGCGCTAACGGTTTACGCTGGCAGGGCACCAGTGGAGGAAGATAGGATGAACACGAGGTCTGGTCCGTTAGCCCATCTGACAAATTCACCAATATTTATCACGACAGTTTCCAGGGGGAACCACGTGGAGGTTAACCTGACATGGTACATTGCTAGCTATATGATCATCAATACACATTACTAACAATCCCCTTTCCCCCGCAACTAATATTTGATTTGACGGTCTCGATGGTCTAGTGGCTTAGCACATCTGTTTACTTCAGACAATCGCAGGTTCGAATCCTCGAAGGAACGAACATTTGTATTGTTAGATTTCATATCGATATTGTCGAAAAATCTGATATTTTATATTAAAAGAAGGTAGTTTCATTATTACTCGGTATCGTTAAACTAGTTGCATATAACCCCCACTCGTATCTTCTCTGTATAAAAGGGAGGGTTTTTGTAGGCCGCGGCACCCCGACCACACTTTTACACACTCACACGACACCGTCCTCGCCGGCGAAGACGACGACCTCACACACCTCATATCGCGCATTCAACCGGCGCCTCCGGTCCCCCTCCGATCGATCCCCCGTCCAATTCATCGGAGATCGATGTTACGACGGCCTGAGCCGAGGTTCGAACCCCTAGTGGTGCCCTCAGACTGGCGTCGTATCCGTCAGGCAGGAGTTGGCCTTCAGCCGCTCCATAAGTCCTTCCGCGGGTTTGGAGTGCCATCTGCACTCGCCCCATAACGTCCGGTGAAGCTGTAAAGGCCAGCTGCGGCCAACAGCATTAGAGTAGTCCGAAAAAAAAAAAAAAGGCCGCGGCATTCGGTCTTTGAGCACAGGATGTGCTGGTTGTATTTTAATTGCTAAAGTGAATTGTGTTAGAGACATAGTTAAATTAATGTTATATAGTTGTTATTTTATTATAATACATACTTTTACTAGTACATAGAGTTGATATATCTAACAGTATTTATGAGTATGATTGTCCGTATCGATTTGGGTGATTTCTAGAAAAATGTGTCTACGTATTTATATCATTTCTCTAGTACCCATAACACAAGCTTGGATTATCTTGTGACTTGACGGCGCCGTGTGAATTGTCCAGTGATATTAGTTACTATATTACGTATGTTTTTACAAAAATGTATTTTTATCAGTTGTTTAGCACCTATATAACAAGCTCTGCTTAATTTGGGCTTAGATGGTGCTATAAGAATTGTCGTGACATAATATTATTTATGGACGGAAGACGCAGCGTGGGAAGGCCTCCAGTAAGGTGGACCGACGATCTGGTCAAGATCGCTGGAAGGCAATGGATACGAGCAGCGCAGGACCGATCGTCGTGGAGATCTTTGTGGAAGGCCTATGTCCAGCAGTGGACGCCTTCCGGGCTGCGATGATGATGATGATGAATATTATTTATTATGAGATATTATAATTGGACCACACTCGTCCACCACGAGCTTACGTAATGTCAACAAACTAGTTTTACCTAAGTGCCGTTTGACGAAAGTCAGTAATTCGTTTTATGGAAATTGCGTAAGGTTTTACAACAAACTCCCAGAGTCTGTACTCAATTTGCCAGAAAATAATTGAAATGTGTCATAAAATATTTTTTTTGTAAAAAAGCTTATTATAAAATTGAATAATTTATAAATGATAATAATGTTTTTGTATAAAATATCGAACTTAAAATTCATAGCACTGACAATGTTATCTGATTGAACAGAGATTACGTGCGTAGCGGTTTCTATGTTGATTGTCGCATGCCTAATCCTTGTTATTAATTAAATATAAGTAAATCAATATTTATTTAAAAGAGCAATACACAAGTTTCTTGCTTATTCTTCTTGTGATGAATCTGCATTCCGAATAAGCGGTAGAATAAAAAAAACTTGACTATTCAAAAGTGCTTATATTAAGTTTATTTGAAAAAAGATTATTTCTATTTCTATTTCTATTTGTACTCACTGCAATCTGAACATAAATATGAAAGAACGGAAAAAAAACGTTTGTATTGATGATTTGTAATTGCTGGAGACATGGTAGAGTGCGAGATTTCTGAAGACAATGTCTGGAACAGGGAGAAGTGGCGGAGTAAAACAAGGAAAGCTGACCTCACCACCATTGAATAATTTTACCTAATTTTACCTAAATGCCGTCTACACAAAGTTAGTAATTCATTTTATGGTAATTGCGTAAGATTCTATAATAAACTGCCAGAGTCTACGCTAAATCTTACAGAGAGGCAAGTCAAATCTTATATTAAACAAATGTTATGTAAAAAAGCCTATTATAAGATAGATGAATTTATAGATGATAGCAATATATAGCAAGAATAAGTTTATTTGCGGACAACGTTATAATTTTAATTTTCATACTGCTTTCTTGATATATGATAGCGTAGCGGCTTTTGTATTGATTGCCGCATGCATCCTTATGTAAAGTGCGAATACTGTAACTACCATATAGTAATTTTTGTAGCTGTGACGTGGTCGTGTGGAATGAGTAGTCATGCTCACTAAAATGTCCAGACATGTGGCGGCGTGGTGGGCCGGGTCAATGGGCTCCCTAAAATATGGTCGAGCGCAGTGATGGCTGGCTCATCCGTCATACTCGTGAACGAGTGCTGCTTGTAGGGACTGGTCTGCTCTTATCACTACGACTGATTTAATCTTATTGCATGATTATATTTGACCCAAAAAATTAGTGCTTGTTAGTAGTTTGTATTCACACGTTTCGACTTGTAAATGTAAACTTACAAGGATTATTTAAAAGAGCAACACACAAGTTTCTTGCTCGTTCTTCTTATGATGAGACAGCTTTCCGAACGAGTGGTAGATAAAAAACAAATTGTTATGACTATTCAAAAGTGCTTAAATTAAGTTTATTTGAATAAATGATTTTCTATTCTATTCTATTCTATTCTATTGAATGACCATTTAATTTTTTTTCATTTGTAGTGCAATTATTTTGCTGTATTGCATAAATTCAATAATACACATATATTCCCAGAGTTTTGTTTGTAACTGAACCTTCATTACGTAGATACTGAATGTACAGGACTCCTTACATCAGGCCGCTGGCTGGCACGACAATTCGTATTGTTAAATATTTACATTTTTATACTAATATTGTCATTTTGTTGCTATGATTCTTTTATTATTCCTTTATTGCCTCTTTCTTTCATACTAGTTTTGTAACTACATATATTTTATAATATACTAGCTGTTCCGGCAAACGTTGTTTGCCTTAAAATAAAATAAAAAATTTAAGGGTGGACTAACCCTAACATTTAAAGGGATGAAAAATAGATGTTGGCCGATTCTCAGATCTACTCAATACGCTCACAAAATTTCATGAGAATCGGTCAAGCTTCGGAGGAGTATGGGAAAGAAAACTGTGACACAAGAATTTTATATATAAGATTATTATTTTTCATATTAAGAAAATGTATTTGTGTTTCTTCTAAAGAAAATATATTCATTTGTTTTTGATTCTGACAGTTGAGTAATAAATTAGCTACATAATAAGTCGGACGTTTTAATATATATATTAATTATACATTCATAAGAAAAGATGGATGGATTGTGTGAAAGATGATATGAATAAAAAAAGAGTATGTTTAGATATGACGACCGATAGAGAGCAGTGGAAGAAAATGACATACTGCGCCGACCCCAAATAATGGGATAAAGGCAAGGCAATGATTATTATACATTCATATTGCGCTTTTAATTACAACCATCGTTGGCTGCACCGACCCCAGCGCCCTACACACAGTCCAACACACTGAAGATGCAAATAAACTCCTTATCTATCCACTTTTTATTATCTATCTAAAATCTAATCCGATACTTTATTCCACTGCTACACTACTTCATGCTGTCATATGCACATAGTTTTTATTGTTAATTAAAAAAATCATGGAACTTAGGAAATTTCCAGTTTTTTTTTTCGAGTCAACAACATTTAAATAGTTTGATATGCAAAAAACACTAAAGGAATATACAAAAACTTGTCGTGAGTAAATATAGACTTACACGCTGAACCACGTGTATTATGAGCTAATAAATGCTAATGAAACGAATATAAATTTCTCGAAATTCCATAAATCCAAATTGATTAGTTTTAACTCTGTCTAAATACTCAGACTTGAAGATAATTGGTTAGTTGATAAATCACCAATAAAACATAGTCAAAACAATTTTATAAATAACGAAACTAGTTTTTATATTAAAATATAACAAAAAGCTGCTATTGAAATGTTGATCAATGAAGTTTCAATGCCATGTAGTGAAGACATTGTAACACTAGTACGTTTAAAAAGCGATGTTCAAATAACAAATATTGAAGTTAATGAGAAAGCAGTAAATAATTGCAATAGGAAATTATATAAAAAAATAGAATAGATTAGATTTTCTATTATTACTATTTAATACGATTTTAGTCTGAGGGCATCGCTAGGAGATCGAACCTCGGCTCAGGCCGTCGTAATTTCGATTTCCGTTTGAATTGGGCGGGGGATCGATCGGAGGGGTAATATTAAAAGGAAAGTTACCTTAATACAATATAGAAGTTAAATACCGGTATCTACGAGATCAGTCCACAATATTGCTTCTCCGCCTTCAATCGTGAACACATCGATATTCTTCCAAGATTTCCATTGGTACATATCTTGCCATGTTCTGGATAATAAAGTATAATATTATATTCTAACTGCTTACTATCTTTTCTTCTATCTTTCATAATTCTTTTGCTCTATCCACTTTCATAATTCATCTTTTGCATATTGCATACTGAGTGTGTACGCTCTCATTTGCATTCTTGACTCCTCCCTCAAACAGAATATGATCTATCTATCTAGATTTGTCTTCCCCTGCGATATTTTAATAAATAAATAATGCATAAATCCGTTATTCCTGTAGAAATAAGATCGAAGAATAGGATAATTTAAAATTAATATCCTATCCTCAAGAACGGTATCTGATTAATTACTAAGCTACTACGGATTACACTTTGAAACGACAGCTACAATACAACAAAGTCAACAAGAACGAAATACAGTGTGATAAAGAAAAAAATACAATAAAACACAGTACAATACAATTCGCAAAGAATGTATGCTAAGAGTGACTTTCAGGGTTACGTTTTCAACTTTGGAGATAAATATAGTAAAGTAATTTATTGTAAACGCTATTGATATAGTAACCCTAAATAAATGTACTTTTTTATTCTTATTAACGTTTGTTGCTACTTTACCTGTACTTGTGGCATCTCTGTTTTCGCATTTCACAGGAAAGATCCCATCTACTCGAGTGTATTACCTTAAATCTACTCAAAAAGTTATCAGTAGGATGCGACTGCCACTGTGAAAGTTGCACTCCTAAACGATCCCAAGTTTTTGCTACGAAATCTTTCATCAAATGCGTTGTATACCATATCACGGGTAACTTTGGTAGAAATCCTTTATTTGCCAACTTCAATCTCTCTAAAGCTTTCTCTAAAAATCCTTCTCTATCACCAATCAAGTAATAACAATTAGACAAGGAAAACAAACCATCACTCAAATGAAAAATGTCATCAACTTTAGTCATTTCAATGATTTCTGCATATATAATTTCAAGCATATCAAACACTGCTTTGTTCATTTCTAATCTTAGGCATAATATGTTATCACAAGTGAAGTTTTCGTTTTTTCTAGGGCAAGTCACATCATCTGACCAAGACCAAGGTCTACCAACAGGTCCTGGAGCAGCTACTTCCATTAACACTCGAATGCCACGAATTCCAGCTCTAATTACTACAGATCTAACGTCTTCTTTTGTATACACCAATTTCCGGTCATACGCTCCGTACTCAACGAGTAGAGGCAACTTTTGAATAATCAGTGGAAAACTTGTAACATCTGAGATTCTCCAATGTAAAGTATTTAACTTAACCATCGCCATAGCATCTATTGTTCTCATCAAATCAGGTACTGGTATGTAATTTCTTGCTGTATCTACCATAAGTCCTCTATATTTGTGAGTGGGAGCATCTTTAATTATTATATTTGATAGAGTTATTAGATATCCAGTACTTTGATCAAGCAATATTAATTGACTCAACGTTTCCAAGCCATGTCTGACACCACAGAAAGAAGCGCCAGCTATTTTTATAATTACTTCATCGTGTATTGTTTCTATTTTCATAGCGTATGACTCGTCAGTATTGAGTAGAAGTCTTGGATCTGGATCACTTTCTACATCTATTTGTATATACATTTTCTTTGCTGTGAAATCATTAGTTCGATTTATTTTCACATCTATTCTTTCTAATCTTGCCAAATCGCCGAGAAATAGTTTGAAAGCTTCTGCTAAATAGTGGTGTACATTTTCAGATGGTATTGATTGGAATTTGTACTCTAATTTGTTAGTAGCTAAAGCTACTATCTTTTTACTAAAATATGTGTAACCTATTGGATGTGGCCACAATTGAGGACCTGTACATAACAGTATACATCGACTAAAAGATGCGTAGATAGTTCCAGAAATTGGTTTATAGATTTTTTGACAGAAATTGTCCTTACACTGCCACGCTGTATTTGGTAAAATTATACTGAAAAAAAATAAACACAATTAGTAAAACATATGGCAAAAAACACCATATCCAATATGTCGGATTGTCCAGAGACACTGGATATCGCTGCACTGCTGCGGACCCAGTGCCTCTGGACGTGGAAATAGGCATAAATATATGAATTGAATGATTATGATTGATGACTATTCATTCAATTCATATATAACTGTAATTTACTAACATATTTTATAAGCTGTTTACTAACATAATATCCGAAATAAATTAATAAAATAATAAAAGACAGTGAATATGTGCGCTAAAGAAAGTTGAGAAAAATACCCCTATTGGGAAGATATGACATGGATCAACCTTACCCTACCAGGGGAAGTAAAGGTTGGAGTTTCAGGATGCTGATAACACAAGTATTGCATAGCTTGGGACTAGATGACGTTGTGAATTGTCCAGGGCTATTATGAATATTATATTGTAGTACCTACAGTAAAGTCGAGATATTCAAATAAGTGAGCGACCCGCGCACAATAGGGGTGAATCAATAGTATAGTATATAATGATAGAAGTATAAGTTATTTAATGGAAAAAGATAGGTCTTGGTATTCGGGAAGGGTTGTTTTAATATAAGGTCGTGTGATAGCCATGCCGTATATTGGAGAAGTAATTTGCCAAAGAACTAAGGTCACCGACAAAGATCTGCGAATTTTCAAGTGGGCTAGTCATATCTGACTTAGAACCGATGGCCGATGGAGTAGACGTATTCTAGAGTGGAGACTGCGAATCGGAAAATGTAGCATAGGTCGCAGCAGGTGGAGCAACGACATACATAAGGTTGCGGATAAAGATTGGACAAGAAGGGCTGCGATTGGCCCCAGTTGTGCGCCTTGGGAGAGGCCAGCAGCGGACTGTAGTGGGCTAACGATGATGATATATTGAACATACCAATCTTATAATAAAAAAGAAATACATTAAATAAATATCCATTGTGTCCAGTAACACAAAGTGTTGCCAACCATTTATTCTCATATTTACCTAAAAAATAATATAATAAAGTATTTTATGTGCTTAACAATGATGTAACAAACCTGGCATCTTCTATCAATCTCTTCGCAGATAAATGTTTATTCTGTTCAGGCTTGTGTAAAGGTACAGACGTTAAAATCATTATCAATATTGTCAACATCATAACGATCACTAGCACCAAGTAAATTCTCCAATTGAAATGAACTTGCCGAAATAAATGTGTTACGTTTCCCCTAAACATTATTATGTGATTATTATTGTATTTAATAAAATAAATTTATATCTAGAGTCATTATTAGATTAAATTTGTTATTTTTAATCAAAACTTTATTCGTGTAGGTTCTATTACATATTCTTTTGATATATCAAATCTAGAGAGTGCTTTTGAGCTCCTATTACTTACTAAACGATTACTTGAATGACGAGCGTGCATGGCAGTAGTTCATGATTTTCATTTAATGCTAGACATAGACACATAAGTACATAACTGACTTAAAAAAAAGAAATTTAGTTGAGTTTCTTGCCAGTTCTTCTCAATTGAATCTGTATACAGAACTGGGCGGTAGGAAAAATAAATATTAATACAAAAAACTTGACGGACATAAAGTTAAAATTTTCTACGAGAATAAATTATTTTTAAATCGAAACGAAGAATTACAAAGACTTTTAAATACTAAACGATAAGACTCTTAGACGTTTGACCACTTTCCTTTTGTCAAAATTGCACCAGCACATGCTGGTCACTATATTCCCCCAAATTTGAATTTAAAAATAAATCTGTATTATTGCAAACTTGTACAACATTTATTTGAAAAGTATACGAGTTGAGTTTCTTGAAATGAAATGAAATGAAATGAAATGAAATGAAATTTATTTGTTATAAAAGTAGTACATAATAGATGGTATGGTTATTTATGTTATATAGCTCTCACTTTTAGTCTTTACAGACATGCAAATACATATTTGAATTAATCTATTATTATTCTTTACACAATTCAATTAAATTACATCTTATACATTTATTATTATTATGAAAGTAATAAAATATTTTTTATAAAACTGTTATATATTCATTAGGAATGTTAAAGTTATGTCAAGTTCGAATTGTCAATATATTATGTTTTCTAATAATTAGTTAACATCGTTTATATAATCATTAACTGTGTAATAACATTGTCAGATCTTCTTAGATATTTAATCGAATTAGGTGTTATTTTGCGGAAGTCCTTTTCACTACTCGATGGAATTATATTATTTTGTTTAATTCCACTACAATTAATATGTGTGAGACTACGAATATTCGGTGTGGAAACCTGACCAGCGCTACGACCTTCTCCAGTGGCGATCAAATTCCGACCGTTATTGAGTCTACACCCATATCGCGCACGTGTTTCGCCTCTGAACGAGGCATCATCAGGCGGAGTTCGGGTACAGCTCGGAAGCCTAGTGTTGACCGATGAGACGGGATGGAGAAGGTCGTAGCGCTGGTCAGGTTTCCACACCGAATATTCGTAGTCTCACACATGTTAATTGTAGCGGAATTAAACAAAATAATATAATTCCATCGAGTAGATCTTCTTAGCTTGGAAGCACACCGAACTGAGCTTAGATTTGGCATATCATAAGAGTCTGTAATAGACCTACATGAATAAAGATATTTTGAATTTGATTATGAAATAATAATAACCTCAGGACAATTCACACAACGCCATCTAGACCCAAGTTAAGCTACTCGTTGCTTGTGTTATGGGTACTAGATAACTGATACAAATATATAGATATTTTTTTTCGTAAATACATACGTATTATACAGACAATCATACTTTTGAATACAAATGTTGGGACCGCGCGAGGAATCGAACCCGCGACCATCGGAAGTAATACGGCGTGACCGCTAGACCACCGAGGTCATCAAAAACGTTACTTACAAGTTATCTTTCGGCGGTAAGTTGCAACTTTGTAAGTTGTTTGTTTTGAGGGGTTCCTCACACTGTTTCATTGAGGAGCCAGGGTCCCCACAGCAAGGACCGGTGGAGCTGCATCGAGTGCACGTGCAGTCGGCTCTACAACGTCTCCCTATCATGATTTAAATACTTTTTTATCTTAATCATTACATAGTATAAAACAAAGTCGCTATCTGTCCGTCCCTATGTATGCTTAAATCTTTAAAACTACACAACGGATTTTGAAGCGGTTTTTTTTAATAGATAGAGTGATTCTAGAGGAAGGTTTATATATATAATACTCATAGCTAGTAATATTATAAACGCGAAAGTTTGTGAGTATGGATGTTTGTTACTCTTTCACGCAAAAAGTAATAAACGAATTTTGATAAACCTATACAATAATATAAGTTATACATCAGAATAATACATATTTAGCCTATTTTATGCCTGCGGTATATTCATAGGAATATACCGCAGGCACAACATAGGCTATAAATTGTATGCAGGTTAAACCGCGAGCACAGCTAGTATTAATATATAAACACCAAAGTTTGTGAGTATGGATGGATGCATAGATGGATGTTTGTTACTGTTTTACGCAAAAACTACTAAACGGATTTTGATGAAACTATACATCAGAATAACACATAGGATATATTTAAAAAGATATTTTGTAAATTGGGACAAATCTTATATATAAAATTCTCGTGTAACAGTTTTCGTTCCCATACTCCTCCGAAACGGCTTGACCGATTCTCATGAAATTTTGTGAGCGTATTGAGTAGGTCTGAGAATCGGCCAACATCTATTTTTCATCCCCCTAAATGATACGTGATACTGATATAAAAAATTATACCCAAATAAAAAATAGTAATATTAGAGTAGACTATCCTTATTACTTAGGGGTATGCACAATAGTTCACGTCTTATTCCTACCTACTGAATTTCATAACAAACGGTCAAGCCGTTTCAGAGATGGTGTTATAAAAACACTGTGACACAAGAATTTTATAAAATAAGGAAGCAAAAACATTTTATAAAAAATATTTGAAGAATTTAATGTTAGCGGACTATTTGTGGACTTTGTCGAGATGACAGAAGCAGATCCAGAAATCTCTGAAGAAATCACGTCGCAATTCTACTAACATAAAAAATGATAAATTTTTGAGAAAATAGAAATTATTAAAGTTAAAATTTGAAGACAAGTGTAATAAATACTAGAGGCTGCATGTGTGCGTGGACCTCGTGAGGCCCGCGGGTCTGTGTCGCTGATTTTTTTTATGATGACGGTTTTCTTTTCGAATAGACTTGGTTGTCAAAAGTTTGGAGGTTTATTTTGATACAAAACCATTTGAGTCAATTTCTATTGTAAGAGTCAAAAGACGACTTCTAATCTAATCTACCTTTTGTATATCATATTATGGACTCTGGCTTTTTCCTTTTTCCTTCTACCAACATAGCCACCCTAATGTTAGAAACTTTTTGTCCATACATTGTACTTGTCCATACGTTGATCCTTAGTACTATTTACTACGAACATCGATATATGAAATTGCCAACGCCATTAAGGGATCTTTTTCACAATCGTCCATCACTATTTTATTTAAAATGTCATAAAAATTAAACTGTTTATATCTAAAATGCATTCTCTTCTTATTAGAATATAGTTCAAAATTAAAACTCACTTATTTCACTGGAATCCTCTTGTGAATCGTCAAACTGCTTACCACCATTACGTTTATCAATAGCTGCAACTCTTTTAACATTATCAATACTATACACAGCTACATCATCAACTGCATCATCAGTTTGCGATGTCTCGTAAGGTAAATCATAACCTGAATCAGGAGCTTCAATACATGATGATGTATCAGTAATAAATGATGGCATATATGTCACTGATGGTTTGAATTTAATTTGTGGACGTATTTCTTTAGATGAATCTATTTCATTTAATTCTACATTAGGAACAGAATCTTCTTCTGTAGGTGTAACTGTATTAAATTCGGGAATCATTACATTATCAGTTATATCTGATTGATCAGTTTTCTCCTCTGATTCCATTGCTTGGGAACATGAATCTGTAAATATATATATACTCATGTTTTACATTAGCTGACTAAAATTCAATAAATATTTATAATATTTCCTATAAGTTAGAAAAAAAAATAGGGACCTTGGATTTATTACTTAGAGGTAGGAAATTGACTACAGTCAGACATTTTATCTTGTTCAAAATCTACCCTGTATCATCGTAAGCACAGATATTATATTATATTAGAGTCCGTTAGTTTTCTGTTCCCGCGCGTTCCCTTCCCCTCCCTTACTAGTAACAAACGGACCGTAAAGCGGCCTTGACGCGCGCGCGCATTTGTTGTGAATTAAAATAAATTAGAACTGTGAAACCTACTGTGAAACTGGAAAGCTAGCGAGACCCTGAAGCCCAAGAAATCCGCAGAACCATACAGGTACGTGACTGACGTTTCCCTAACATTTTGGTAGCAGAGTAGTTTCCCAAACATATCTAAATTGTTTTTTGTAAGTAATCGTTTCATTTTAATGCAAGGACACTGCATCTCCGATCATCTGGATGAATGCCAGTCGTCCACGGTGCGTTTCTTCAAAAACTTTTTGCCACGCACAACCACATCGTGGAATCACCTTCCAGGTATGGTATTTCCGAACCGATACGATATTTAAACCTTCAATAAAGAGCTTATTCCTTTTTAAAAGGCCGACAACGTACTTGCAATTCCCCTGGTGTTGCGGGTGCTCATGGGCGGCGGTAATCACTTACCATCAGGTGAGCCGCAATGTTATTTGTCCCTTAGCCTACATAAATCATATTAAATTACTTCCTAATAAGTTAGAACATATAACTTATATTATATATCTTAATCTTAATTATTACATAGTATAAAACAAGGTCCCTGTCGCCGTCTGTCCGTCCCTATGTATACTTAAAACTACGCAACGGATATTGAAGCGGCTTTTTTTAATAGATAGAGTGATTCAAGAGGAAGGTTTATACATATAATACATGTACACCCGTGCGAAGCCGGGGCTAGTAGCTAGTAATATTATAAACGCAAAAGTTTTGTAGGTAAAGATGTTTTTACTCTTTCACGCAAAAACAACTGAACGGATTTTGACGAAACTTTACAGTAATATAGCTTATGCATCAGAATAACATAAAGGCTATATTTTTATTGAAATTTAAAGCGGCTGAAACCGCGGGCACTGCTAGTATATCCATCTTATATATAAAATTCTCGAGTCACAGTTTTCGTTCCCATACTCCTCGGAAACGGCTTGACCGATTCTCATGAAATTTTGTGAGCGTATTGAGTAGGTCTGAGAATCGTCCAACATCTATTTTTCATCCCCTAAATGTTAGGGGTAGTCCACCCCAAAAAAAATTTATGATACATACAAAAATACATACAATCCTAAATTTTCACCCTTCTATCATCAACCCCTATTTTTTTATAGCGTTATTAACTTATATGGCAAAACAACGTTTGCCGGGACAGCTAGTAATTTATATAAACTCACAACGAATAGCCAAGTTAATATTGTTAACAGTAATCTCCATATCGCTGAGTTTCTCACAGAACCTCAATATCAGGTTCTGGTGGGTTTTATCTAGCGTCAGACAGATGTCATCTCCGACGAGACCAAGTTGAGAGTTGGCGCAGCAGTGGTAGAGAAGTACAGATGTGAGTATATACATCTTCTTAGATAACTCTGTCTCTTCGGAAATAAATCTGTATATATATATATTTCGCTATATTTGAATATATCGACGGCCTCGGTGGTTCAGCGGATTAGCATACCGCATTACTTCCGATGGTCGCAGATTCTATTCCTCGCACGGCACAAACATTTGCATTAATAATGTTTTTAAGCCTACCCGCCTCGAAAAGTGACATGGCTGATAATAAGGGACAAAAGATATACCAACTACCACCAACAGCGCAAATTCTAGTAGGTAACAGTACGTGCTTTTATACATTTCATATAGCTACATACTTATCCCGCTGGTTCTATTGAAAATCAGCGTTAGGTTAGGTTACAACCAATTAGTGCTACTTGGCAGTTCGTAGTCACACATTGATTGATATAAGAAATATCCGAAATATTTACCAATTTTGAAATTTACAAGAACTTTAAAGTCATTTTTTGAGAATAATCCATTTCATCAGATTAATGACTACATGTCAATTTAACAAATATAATATTGTAACTAACGAGATAAATGTAACCTCTTTTACATGACAAGTAAGTAAATCAGAAATCTGTAATCGTTGTAACTTAAAAATGTAAAGTTACAACTAAATTAAAAGAGCAACACGCAAGTTTCTTTCCTTTCCGAATAAGCGGTAGATTAAAAAGATAAGCGATGACTATTCAAAAGTGCTTCAATGTAAGTTTATTTATATGAATTATTTTCTATTTCTATTTCAATATAATATAAAATAATAAATGTGTGACGTACCTCAGTCTTAATATGGGGTATTTAACCATAATGAATGTTTCTAAATCACCACAACACAACATAGCTCGGTCAGTGTCATTAATATTAACATCTTGCTTATATTTGTTTATTATATCCACTAGAGTCTTCTTGTTGAGCTCTTTTACAATGTTTTTTGGCGTCACACATTTGTTTATCTGCAAAATTATATATTGTAACTGTTCCCGCGAATTTAACGTTATTTTTCTAAAATAAAAGTAGCCTAAGTTACCCCTTATTACATCAGCTATCTGCCAAAAAAAGTCTCATCAAAATCGGTCCAGCCATTTCAGATGTTAGCCAGAACAAACAGACAGACACAAAAATTAAAAAAAATGTTATTTTGGTGTGTGTACCGTATTTATATTAATATGCATGTAGTAAAAAACGGTTATTTCAATATTACAAACAGACACTCCAATTTTATTTATATGTATAGATAAAACTGTATGACTGGGACTGGGAATTATATTGTGCAGTATTTATATATATTATTACTAGCTGTACCCGCGACTTCGTCCGCGTAAATAATGAAAAAATATTTAACTTAATTAACACAATATAAGTCAAATAAAAAAGTTTCATCGTTTTAGCTTAAAAAATGACGTAACAAAAATTTCATAAAATTCAATCAACAGCTTAAAAAATAGGTTTCAAGCTTCTAGCTTCAAAAATGACGAATTTACATAAAAACTTGAATCCCCTATTTTATTTTACCCCCTTAAAGGTAATATTTTCACAAACAATGAATGTCATATTTATTTATATTTAATCAACAGCCTCAAAAATAAGTTTCAAGCTTCTAGCTTCACTTCCATACAATCTTTCATCCTCCCTTTTAACCCCTTACAACCCTTTTTTCGCATTAAAAGTAGCCTATGTCCGTTCTCAGGGTCTAGATAATCTGTATACCAAATTTCATTCAAATCGGTTGAGTAGTTTTGGCGTGAAAGCGAGACAGACAGACAAAGTTACGTTCTAATTTATAATAAGGATGAAATTATACTTTATTTTAATCATCAAATTATCTTCTTCTTTCTAAAATTAAAGAGTTTCCATGGGATACGGAACTCTTTAATTTTCCATGATTAAAATTGAGTAATGTAAGCTACCTCCACGAAAAAAATTCATTTAAATCGGTCCAATGGTTTCAAACGGTAAAAAAATTATCTATCTGTATATATATCTTCTCAGGTCTAGTAAACATCTTATAAAGCAGGCTGATGCCAGAACTGAGCGAGATGGAGGTACCCACATGGACGACTTTGTGCAAAGTGTAAAGTGGTAAGAGATGAAAAAGCAAAGGTTGTATACCAACCCATTTTAAACCCAAATTAAACAAGCATATGGCTAAACTAGGCCTATGCACGACAAGAATCTGCAGATTCTGCCAAACTGAAGAGGAAACGCCACTACACATCCTATGTGGTTGTAGCCCACTCATGCATAAACGAAATATCTCCTTTGGAAAGTTTACACTCTATCCCGAGGAGATAAAAACCATCGCTCCTAAGAATATCCTTCAATTCTTGTACCTGACGGTTCTAGGCAGCGAACATTGAAAAAGTGCGAGCACAATAGATCTATGTAGGTCGCAGTGCTACAGGTGCTACAAACATCTGATAATACCCCAAACAACCCAATAAAATAAAAAAAATACCAACCCATTTCAACAATACTTGAGTCCATCGTCTCTCAATAATTTCCAGTCTGCAATCTGAACACGAGGTCTCATCACAGGACATGGTATTTCAATTTTACGTTTAATTCTCTACTCACGACCGATAGAAGATAAGAAGAAGAAGAATCATCATAAATATGTCAAGTGAATTCAAATGACAGACAGCAAAAATCACCATATAATTCTTTGTTATAATATTTTTTTTTATTAACATGTTTTACGGCTCTGGATACAAGTCCTTTTTAGCCCAACATAAAGTTTTTTTATTTATTAATGTTTTACGGCTCTGGATACAAGTCCTTTTTAGCCCAACATAAAGTATAAAATCTTAATAACAATTATATAAAGTTTGAATTCTTTTAGTGTTACTCTATAACAGAACCATAGATAAAGTGATTTTATAGGGGAAAATGGGATTGTTAGTAATGTGGACTGATGATCTCATTGCTAGCAATGTACCATGTCAGGTTGACCTCCACGCGGTTCCCCCTGGAAACCGTCGTGATAAATTCTTGGTGAATTTGTCACGATGGGCTAACTGACCTGACCTCATGCACATCTTATCATTCTCCACTGGTGCCCCGCCAGCGTAAACCGTTAGCGCAGGCGGTTGCACCATTCCATTATAATCCACAAAAAAAAATATATTTTTTTTATATTTTATCTATGACTAGCTGACCCACGCAACTACGTCTGCATTTTTAACTTGACATTTCGTCAATTAAATAGAAAAATGTTATTTTTCAAAATTAGAATCTAGAATTGCCTCCTTTTATATAAGTCAATTAAATTAACCACGCCGTCTTAATCATTATCTAAATACTTTTAAAATGATATACAATACTTCTGTGAAAATTTAAAACTTTAAAGGGAAAAATAATATAAATAATAATAATAATAATAATCTCAGGACAATTCACACAGCGCCATCTAGACCCAAGTTAAGCTAGCTAAAGCTTGTGTTATGGGTACTAGATAACTGATACAAATACATAGATATTTTTTTTTTTGTAAATACATACATATTATATATAGAAAACACCCAGACCGATACAAACAATCATACTCATGAATACAAATGTTTGTGCTGTGCGAGGAATCGAACCCGCGACCATCGGTCGTAAAGCGGTGTACTAGACCGCTGGACCACCGAGGTCGCCGTAAATAAATTAAAAAACTTTAAATGCTTGTCTTGTAAAAAATTTACCTCTCAGCTCGAAAGCACTCCGAACTGACGGTAGAGTCTGTAATAGACTTGCATGAATAGAATACAAAATCATTTTTATTCAAATAAACTTACATTGAAGCACTTTGGATAGTCATCACATTTTGTTTAATCTACCGCTCATTCGGAAAGCTGTATCATTACAAGAAGAACGAGCAAGAAACTTGCGTGTTGCTCTTTTAAATAATTTTATTCTTATATTATATTTTTAAGTTTAAGTGTGTGAATACAAACTACCAATTAGCACTAATTAAATATTTTTTTTATACCACTTAGGTGGCAAACAAGCATACGGCCCATCTGATGGTAAACGGTTACAAAATACTCAAATAGAAAAAATATTAATCAAGATATTTTGATTTGATTTGATTTGATAGCAATTTGATATATGACAGATTTACTTTTAGTAACAGACTTTTAAGAACCGAGCAATACATTATAACGCCACGCAGATACAAGTACATGAGCGGCCAATTCTTTTAAATTAAACTGCACGTGAAACAAAAGACTCAAGAACCTAGCTAATCATAACGCTAACCGAGAAGCGGACGGGCGCGGCGGCCAATTCTTATAAATGAAACTACGCGTGAAACAGCAGGTCGCAGCTAGTGTATCAATGTAATGAATCACTCGTGATATTGTTCCAGTGACCGTGAACGACTGCAACGGTCAGCCAGCCAAACAATGTGTGTTATATAACAGCCGACCGTGAATTCGCGACAATGTCCAACAAAAAGTGATTGTGTTTGGCGCACGTGACGGACGTACATACAAAAAAACTACACACAAACTTGTATAAATCGATCATTTTTTTATATTAATTTTTTTAGCAACTTTTTTTTTTATTAATACTCTTTATTGCATCTAATAATTAAAAAAATAAAATTGTAAACATATCTAGTATGTGTAACAATCTCTTCTAGACTGCCTTTGAGTGGATAAAGAAAGTAAAGATAAGAAAAGATAAGTGGCGGACGTAATAAACAAAAATATTTATATGTCTATAAATATACATGCAAAATAAATTACCCTGGACAATTGAGACAGCGCCATCTAGACCCAAGTTAAACTAGCTAAAGCATATGTTATAAATACTAGATAACTGATACAAATAGATAGATATAATTTTTTTTCGTAAATACGTACATGTTATACATAGGATATTATATATATAACAATATATTCTATGTATACAACAATCATACTCATGAATACAAATGATTGTGCCCTGCGAGGAATCGAAACCGCGACCATCGGAAGTGAGGCGGTGTTCTAAACCTCTAGACTACCGACGCTGTTAAAATAAAAATTAAGATAGTAAACAATGTCTTCTATACCTATTACTTGAATGACGAGCGTGCATGGTAATAGTTGTTCATGCACGAGATTCTCATTTAATGTTAGACATAGACACCTATATAAATATGCATTGTAAACAAACTGGATTTTAAAAAAAAGTATTTCAATTGAGTTTCTTGCCAGTTCTTCTCAATTGGATCTACATATATACCGAACTGGACGGTAGGAAAAAAATTATAATGTAAAACTTGACGTTCATAAGCGGCTAAAATGTCCTACATGAATAAATGATTTTGGAATTTGAATTTATCTTTGGGCGGATAGAGAAATTAAAGATACCAAAAGGATACATATAAATATATATAAATGTTTTTGTTTATTACGTACACAATTTGCACCTAACATAAAAAATATTTATATGTGCCAAATAAAAATTCAAAGTCAAAATATTTTTTTTCCTGTAGGTCTATTACAGACTCTTATGATATGTCAAATCTACCGTCAGTTCGGAGTGATATCGAGATGAGAAGAACTGACAAGAAACTCAGCTCGTGTCGAGACCCTTGGTCTACAGGCTACAAGACTTTTCAAAGAAATAACGAAAAGGTTAGTCGCCATCACAGAAGGCCGAAGAGCTGGCAGCTACCTTGGACAAAGAATTAGTCTAGCAATTCAAAGAGGGAACGCTGCCAGTATCTTCGGAACGTTGCCTAAAGGGATTATTTTTTTTTTTTAAGCTTTTTAATTTTAGGTTCTTAGTTGTACAATTAAGGTATGTAAATGATATAATTAGTTATACAAATAATTCAAGAACACACATATACCTAACGTACATACATTTAGAAAGAATGAAGAAAAAGGTACCATTATTTAAAAGTTAAATAAGAAAATAAAAGGGAAAGATGGGATTTGAAGGAGACTTTGAAATTGGCAAATGATTGCAAGCTAAGCTAAAGCTGAAAGAAAAAAATGTAAGAAAAGAGAAGAACTCACTGCAGTTTCACAACTTAACAGCATAACCGGGAGTTGATCTTCAGCCGTTCCATAAATCCTTGTTGTAGAAATATATACTAAAACTATTTTGACGACCTCTGTCGGTCTGGGTGTTTTCTATGTATAATATGTATGTATTTACGAAACAAAAAATTATCTATGTATTTGTATCAGTTGTCTAATACCCATAACACAAGCTTTAGTTAGCTTAACTTGGGTCTAGATGGCGCTGTGTGAATTGTCCTGAGATTATTATTATTTATTAAGGGATAATATGTTAATGGTAAATGGTAGAGATAGTAAAGTAACATATATTTTGTTTTATAGTATTTGATTAGAGAATTTAAAAGAGCAACACGCAAGTTTCTTACTCGTTCTTCTTGTGATGAGACAGCTTTCCGAATGAGCGGTAGATTAAACAAAATGTGATGACTATTCAAAAGTGCTTCAATGTAAGTTTATTGGAATAAATATTTTTCTATTCTATTCTATTCAAATATTTCGTAATAGATCACTCCAATGTCAACGAACTCTTTGGCTTGTAATTAGAGACGAGTATTGTAATATTGTTACCTCAACTACAATGACTATAATTTTTGTATAAATATAACTTACCATAGTTAACTACACCACTTAGTGCCCGGCGGTCGCCGTAGACACAGCTCTGCTGTTTTTTTTAATTTAATACCTTAGGATTATTTCGTTCTACTTACATATTTTTTCTCTGTTAATTCAATAACGTTTACCTTGGCCATAGCAGCAGAACCGGTTCTACGGTCCAATTGTAAATTAGTCTATAATTTTGTGCTGTCAAAGTGACGTTTGAAAGCGCGCGAAACGATTTGCATTTGCGATTTTTGAATTTCGAACAGAGAAAAAAATGAAGGAGCTTATTGGTGTTTCTACCAGCCAGTGTTTGGAGAAGAATGGGAATGGCGCGGTCATGTTGGCTAAGAATGGGAAGAAGTCTGATAATGGTAAGTGTATTTTATATGTATTTCATATTTTCAGCACCAAATCAAACCGGCTGCATATCATTTTCCTGTATAACAAACCTTTGTGATAAAAAAGGTTAGACATCAGTCTGAACCAAGAAGAACTGGCAAGAAACTAAGTAATTTAAACTCAAATTATATATCACAAGTTTAAAAATGCATACGAATATATTAAAATTACAAAGTACATCTCAAGAAGATAAAGAGGTCTTTTTGGAAATAGTGAATTATGAAGTAAATTAAATATTAAAATTATTATGATGCATGTGGACCTGGTGCTTCTGGACGTAGACACAGATATACAAGTTAAGTGTATCTCTGTATCTGTATATAATAAGTTACTAACAATTTTTTTAAATTGTTTACTAATACAATATGGATGTAATCCGAGTTAATATAAATAAATAAATTACAAAATTATTGAGGTATCTCAATACTTTATGTAAAAAAGTATATCAAAATAACCATTTTTACAATATTTGTCTGTCTGTTTGTTCCGGCTAACCTCTGAAATGGCTGGACCGATTTTGACGGGGCATTTTTTACAGATAG